TACTTTGTTTTGGTCAATGGCTAGTGTAAGTCCTGATACAATGTGTCCCAGTGCTTTCAGCTCGTGGAAGCCAAAGTTACATTTCTTGAGTGATATTTTCATGTTAACTTCTACAACCTTCTGAAGAATTATTTGTAGTCTCTCGAGGTGTTGCTCCCAGTTATTGGAGAAAACAATAATATCATCTATGTAGATGATGAGCCACTGCTCAGATAATTCTTTAACAAAAATTGTGTTCATCATTCTTTGGTAATGTGATGGAGCATTTTTGATTCCAAATGGCATCCTCATGTATTCATATACACCACAATGTGCTATGATTCTAAGGAATTTTCTGGACCGTGGTGTGACTACATTTTGGTGGAAACCTTTCAATGCATCCATGCTAGTGATGTATTTGGCTTGTGATAAGCTGGTGAGTGTCTCATGGATGCGTGGGATAGGATATCTGTCCGGTATGGTGTATGTATTAAGGGCTCTGAAGTCTCCAACCATCCTTGATTTTTCATTATGCCAGGCTATAATAACTGGTGTGGTTATTTCTACTTCTTCATTGTGACCAATTTTCCGGAGAACACCCAAGTCAATGAGTTCTTTAATATGTTTTTCCAATGCTTCTCTGGCTCTAGGACTGGCTGGGTAGGCTGGTCTTCTGAGAAGTGGAGGGTATGGTTTTTCAATATTCAAAGTAATTTCAACTTCATGTCCCTTAATTGCGCCTAATGGTTCTTTGTCCGTGGCAAAGGCATTTTTATTATTAAATAGCACTTGGATGAGACATGCACGTTGGTTTTCATTGAGTTTTTCACTGATCTTGCAGTCCTTAAGTTGGTCATTCTCAAATTGGGAAATTTCTGGGTCTATTCTTCTAGTAACTGAATTGATGTGCCTAGAGGCAAGAAATTGGAATTTTTTCCGTTGGTTATCATGACCAATTGTGAAGAATCTTTCTTTGCTGTTGTGGATGTCAAATCCATAAAGATTGAGATAGTCTGTTCCTAGAATGAAATAATCATTTCTTCCATCTTCGAGAATTATAAATTCTACTTTAATTCTGAATGATCCTGATGGATGTGGTAGGAGAAGGCTTATTTCAATTATCCCTAGTGATTTCATTTGGCTGTTGCAGCTGTGGAGTGATAGTCCTGCTAGTGGCATGAGGCTGTCTTTCCAATTAGGCAGGAATTGTTCCAAATATTTTGTGGACACTACTGAGCAAAAAGCTCCTTGATCTAGTAGCATTCTGCCTTCTTGTTTTTCACATATGACTAGGGTGACAGAGCTTGTGCCTGCTGTGTAGCCCTTTCCTTTTTCTGGTTTGGTTTTCACTAGTTTGGCATCAGTAACATGTGTAATGTCTCTGCTGTTATGTGATATCTGCGGTAAGTGGGAAACTTGTTCTTCCTCAGATAAGTCATAGTCTGCCTCAATAGCGCCTATCTCAGCATCTGCAGACTCATAATCCTCTGCATCATCTGGTAAAGATTCATCATCTTCTTTGTCTGATTTTTCATCTAATTCTTCAGTGTTACCTGATGTGTCTGGTTCAATTGCATTTATAGTACGTTTATTTTTTGGGCACACATTGGCTAAATGATCTGGGCTGTCACACTTGTGGCATTTTCTGACATATGGTTTGTTGTCTATCTTTGCTGGGATAGGTTTCTTCATGTCAGTCTTCCCGGGGGAATATTTTTTGTAAGATCTGCCAATCTTGGTACGTTCTACTATGTCTTCTAGTGCATTGATGATTTCTTCTGTGGAGGAATTTCTATTGGTCCTGCATTTAACTGCATGCTCTAGATCTCCTCCACATTTCTTGAGTATTCTCTCATGTAGACCTGATGGACTCATTTCTGGAAAAATGGCTGAAAGGCGGTCTTTCTGCTTGGAGAACCATGTAAGTGGTTTGTTAATTTCTGGATCAAAGTGTGCTTTGTCAAAAGCTTCTTCCATCCTGAATCTCCATGCACCATTTCCCCATTTTATATGCATTTGTTCTTTCCACCAGGACCAAGTTTGTTTACCATGTTCTGCGCGCATCAAGTTGTACCATTTTTTGGCGGAATTATATAGTATGATACATAATTTTCCTGTGATAGCAATATCTTTAAGTTCAAAGTCTTCTTGAAACATATCAATGGTTTTAATAAATTCTACGTGGTTATATTCTCCTTCACCACTGAATCTTGGCCAATCTTTGACTTTAGGTGCCTCTTTGGACATATCAGATTGGGTGCTTCCAGCAGTGTGTTCCACTGGTGGTCTTGGGGATCCAATATTTGGATGGGGTATCAATTGTGGTGAGAAACTTGTTGACCTCGTAGGAGCCTCTGTGTTTGAGGGAGGATAAACTTTCTCATTGTTTAGTAATGTATCTAATTTATTATTAATGGTACTATATTGGATGAGAAAGGAATTGTTCAATTCTTTAATTTTGTTGTCAACTAATTGTTGATGTGTTGCAAGGGAATTTTGGTTCTCCTGCTGTTGAGATTTTAACATATTATTATATTTTTCCATTTGTTCACAAATGGTTAACAATAGTTTATGATTCTCATCAATATCAGAAATAATTGAGTCATATTTATCCTGAATCTCAAGTGAAGGATCTTCTTGCTTATCCTCCAATGGTTTATTGGTATTAATCTCAAGTCCTCTTATTTTATCTATAATAGTTCCTGTAAGATTCTCTAGCACCTCAAATTTGTCAAATGACTTAGCAAAATCATTGTCAATTTTGTAGGAAGTTTTATCAAGAATTTTCTTGTTTTCCTCTGTTACAGAAAAATTGGATCTTAGTATTTCAGAAAAGATGGACATTGAATTGGCAGTGGCCATAGAATTAGTCAAGGTTTTCTCAGTTGAAGCTGAAAGTAGTTTGAACTCAGACATCAGGTTATTGCTAGAATAGAGAATATCAAGTTTCTCGTCAAAATTTATAAAACGAGCGTGTATTTCGTTAATGAGTGTGTCATGAAGAGAGGCTAGAGTAGTATGTACAAGTTGTAAATCTAGTCTTTCTTGCGGCGCTTGGAGGCTTCCTCCTCCTTGCGTAATTCCTCCAACACTTGTGCTCGAGCTTGCTGTAAAGCTCTGGCCGCCGCCATTGTTTCTCGCCACGAGGTGTCTAGCTTCGCTATCTTGCCTAGTCGGTTGACATCTGTCTCGGCTGGTCGTTTCTCTTGGCGGTTGTTGGGGGAGTTGTAGCTTCCTGAGGGTTGAGATCCGCTTGCTGTCGGCTGCGAGCGGCCTTCTAGTTTCGCTAGGAGCTTGGCCGATTTCGCTTCCTTGAATGGGTTCCACCCATTGTTGATGGAGAGGGCGAACTGCCAAGTTAGCTTCTTCGAGATGTTGCGGTACGAGCGTTGGCACTCGGTCAGCGCTCTCGTTGCGTCTGCGTGCTGATTCGCCTTCTTCGCTGTCTCGTACATGTGATATTGCTGCCGATATATCCTGCACGCCTGGTCTTCCACTGTGTTCAGTTCTAAAGTTATCAGTGGTCAGTGTTTGGTTAAAGATATCTAATGAGTCGTCAGAAGAATAGACTGACTCATTGGTTCTATATCCATCGAAGGATCCGATCCTTCGTTCGGGTCTTGATCTTCCGGTTGGTCGACGTCCATCGCGTCCGAAGATTGGGATGGATTGGTCTTGGAGACTGGTGCTTGAGGGTAGTTGGGCACCGGTGGTTGGGTCGTTCTCGGCGGGTCTGCTATAGACGGCGCTGGTCTTCTCGCCGAGGTTGACATCGGTATGACTACAGCTATGGCTTGTCTCTTCCTGGCCTTCTCTGATGGTGGTTGGGTCGAGATGAGCTTTGGTTTCGTTGGTACGAATAGTGTCGATGGTTTCTCGGCGGTTTTCGCCGGTGCTTTCTTGGGAGTCGATGAAGCTATCTTTTTCTTGCCTGGTAAGTCGAACAGCTTCGGCGAGGTTGGTTTCAACGTTGGGCTTGTTGCCTTTGACTGAGGAGGGTTTGAGCTGTCTTTTGACGGTGGGATTGATTTGTCCGGCTTCGAGGGGGTCGCCGTCTTTTTGCGCGATGCTCCAAGGTTGTCTTTTCCTTTCGTGGACGCTCCGAGTTGTACTGGATCGTCTGCTGCTGGTTACAGAAGAAGCCTCTGAGTAAGTCTTTCCAGATCTGGTGGAAGGAGACATGTTCGAGATTGCTTACGTAAGGCGCTGTCCGCAGCTAATGTGACGCTTTCGAGTAAGGTGTTAGCTTGATTGAATAATCCTTTGACCTCTGGGTTGAAGGCTGATGGTTCTTCTTTGTTGGTATCGGTGGATACTTCAGAAAGGACTGAAGGGCTAGGAGCTTCAGTTGTAGGGGTCTGTGCTTCAAAGTTGCTCACTTTGAAAGAAGGAAAAAAAAATGTTAATTAATTTTTAGTTTTTAATGATTTTTCAATGAGATTTTTGTAAGAAAAAATGGAAAATAACCGTACTTTTTATGGGAGTTTTTTAGGTTAGTTTTATTTGTATTTTTAGTTGATTTTTGTGCAAAAAATTTGCTTTTTTCTAGATGAAAAAGGTTCTAAAAAATGGAAAAGGAAATATGGTCTTTGGGTAAAAAAAACTGGATGAGGCCCCCAAATGTAAGGTCTGGATATGAAACTAGAAGGAAATTCTAGTACTATTCCTGTCCTAATAAATTTTTGTTAGTAATTTTATATTAATTTTTAAAGTTTAAAGTATATTTAAACTTACAAAAAGGGGATTGTTGGTTAAACAATCAAAGAAATTATAACCTCACAATATTACTTGTTAAGAGGCCTAGAGTTGAGTTTTAATCAATACTCTGAATTCCAAAGGAGGAATTGAGGAAGGGTGAATTGTTTGTTAGACAATAGATCACAAGGAATTCATCCAAAAAGGTCTTTTGGATGAGTTGAGGATTCCTGGGCAATTTCTAGAGCAATACTTCTGCAACAGAAAGTAAGAAAATGGCCAATTTTGAAGGAATAAGGAGCTGGGATCTTTTAAGGGCAAAGGCTACAGGTTAAAGCTGAAGGTAGCAGTAAAAGAGGAGCTCTGTTTCGTGGTTGGAATGCTAAGGTTGATAAGAGAAATGGTTGGAAATGCTGGCTTCAAGTATATAGTAGTATATATGGCGAAGTGGGTGAATTTCTGAGGTTTAAGCACTCAATAAAGGAGTCCTTATATAGCCACACACCTGAGGGTGGCTTGCAGTGCATTTTTGCACGATGACACTGATGCTTTGGGCTTGTTTGGCTGGGTGTAAGCCATGCCCAAGGCCTTGGTTATCAGTATCCCAAAGGCTGAAACAGTTGTAACTGTAACCACGGGTACAGCTACCCAGTCAGGAAGTAATGATGCAATGCCAAGTTATTGCTAGGGTTCTATATGCCCAAAGGAGACTTTTTGTTTCGTCTCCAATCCATTTTGGAGGGATTTGGTTGAGGTATTCTGATATGTACTGGCTCAGAACAGGTTAAACTACTTGGGCCAGATTGAAATGGGCCAATTCTCAACCCTGTTGATTTCAAACTGGACCAGGGTTGTTCTGGTGGATGGCTGATGTAAGAGGATATTCTTAGTTCTCTCAGAAAGGTTATTAAGGTTAGGGATAAACAAAACAGGTTACATGACCAAGTGGCTGGTCAGGGTTCAGAATATGTGGTCTAAACTGGTTACTTGGTTATAGTTGCTGAGCTACAAGGTTGTACATGTTGCACAAGCCTTGGAACCTTGTTTATCTTGAGTTCGCATCCAATGAACTTTGTTTATGTCATCAGCTGATTTGGTTCTGTAACTTTAAATGTCTGTAACTCTTTAGTTATTGATTATTTTACAGAATTCTTTGTTTTTTGAGTATGTAGTTACACAGTGGTATGTAACTACATGAATTTTGTTTTTATTTTCTAAGTAAATTAAAAAAAGTTTATTTTTATTTTTAAAGGCCTTTGTGGTCATTTGCAGGCTTTTGACCATATACACTTTTATATATAGATTTTTATGCTTAATATTAATTTATTATTTATAATATTTTTTCTTGGGCTAGTCTTGAGACTTGACTATGAGTTGTAATTGTTATTTTTATTATTTTATGTTTTGAGGCCTATGGGTATGTATATACCTCAAGGCTGACACTATACCATCTGACGCTCAAAAAGACCTCGCATACTGGTTAAAGACACTGCTCGCGTTCAAGCACACTTGCCTAATTCAGAACCCGGACCCAACAGAAATTGGGTGGATGGGAGAGGCTTCGACAAGTTACGGAATCGGAGTAACTATCGGTCAAAGGTGGGCCCAATTTAAACTCAAAGCAGGCTGGAACGAAGGACCAGCACCGAGGCGGAACATAGCCTGGCTGGAGACGGCTGCAATAACGATCGGCCTGATCATGATCAAGCAGCTAAAAATCAAAGAAGGGAAGACGGTGATTGTCTGGACCGACAACACAACATCAGAAGAGGCGGTGAGAAGTAGGAAATCAAGAGATTTCCACGTCAACAAAGAATGGAAACGCATACAAGACATGCTGGTCGCTTCTCAATTAGACATCGTAGCCAAGAGAGTATCGTCAGCAGAAAATGTCGCGGACGCCCTATCCAGGGGTGACCACACCGGACGTGAGGAGAGACACCAGGTATTCATACAGCTCCCCGACAGTTTAGGAGAAAGGATGTTTCAGGCAAGCAGATGGGACTAAAACTGAAACACCAGTAGTCTATCCACACAAGTTGTATTTAGTTTAATGCCCTACCCAGCCTGTGACCGTCCTCTGTTTGTCTATGTCCCTTTGGAAAATTACCTCCCAAAAAGTTCTATCTGAAATTCATCTCCTCACTCCTACAAAATCGTCCGCTTTACTCTCGTACAACTTCCAAATGGACTTGTCCAAAATAAAAGACTTTCTAAAATTTGTGTCAGCTTGCTACTATGGCAGAGACAACCTGTCATAGCAAAATAAAATAAAAAAAACACATAAAAAATCTAAGAATAAAGTAAAATATTACATAAGTAAAAGAAACTAATTTACTTATGTAAATAACATAAAAAACACTTAAAAATATATAAATAACAGAGAAAGATTAGAGAAAACTTTAATTATTATTACAGATTCTGAATCTACTTACAATTTAACCTAGGGTACCTCAGCCAAAGGTACCCCTAATTGTAACTCCTTCATCCTGTAATACCCACTTAAAGAATTAACAGGTACCCATAGATCACGGGCACCTGAATAATTATGCATTATACATAACAATATGCATATACTCCAAATCTTGTCTCAGATTTGGAGTGTTGTGTATAGTTTGGAAGATAGAGCTGCGTGGAGTGTACTGTCTCCAAGCCCGCGCGCCGCGTAGTCATGCTGCGCACGGTTGACAGGCGCGCCTGACTACAATTGAGCCCATGGCTCAAGCCCCCGCGCGTGCTAGGTAAGCCCACCCGCCTTGGATACATGCATAATCCCCTCTGGGTTACCAGTATCCAAGGAATGGGCCACAAGCGCCCCAGAATCCTCATTACACGTGACAACAAAGCCCCCACACGTGTAATAAAAATATAAACAAACTAGAATATGCATGAAAATACTACAGTAACCTAGAACATTCTGTATTCCAAGTGGTAACACGTGTAGCAAGCCCCAGAAACCACCTCTTGGATATTCTGTGGCCCATTTCCAAGGAAATAACTCCACGTAACAGAATAGCAGTTATCCACAGGTTCCTGAAGGATATTCTTGGTTCAAATAAATTCGTGCATGACCCCTGGGAACTTCTAGAATATTATCACCAAGGTTTCAGCCCTTGTTGCGTCACCATGTGGGCTAAAATGGGCTACAAAGCGCTCCCAAGTCCTACTAAGCTCCCCTGAGCAACCCCTGAGGTCTGCCACAGGTATTTAAGGGCCTTCTGACCGCCCAAATAATGATCCCCCAGCTTTACAATACCTTATAGAAATTTACTTACCATTTACAAGTCCCCTACACTTGTAATTAGCCTAGTTACTACTATAAATTGCTGTTATTAAGCCTCAAGAACCCTCAAGAAACTCCCCTGTGATCACCCAGCACCCAAATTCCACCCTTTTGAGCGCTTCCAACTGCCCAGTTTCTACTCTGAAGATCCTCAAGACCCTACAGGATTATTACTAGTGAGTAATAACCCTTTTCTTGAGATTTTCCCTATTATTTCTTACTGGGATTTAAACCACCCCTGTTTACAGGCCCCAGTGTACCAGGTACCTAAATCCTCTGCTCTTTGCACGATACCTTTGAGGGATCTAACCACCCCTGATTTATCAGGCCCCTCAGGTTTAATTTATATTAATTTTATTAATATAAATTGGCCACTTTTTTCCTAAAAAACTCCCATAAATTCCTTTCTTTTTATTGGAATTTATTCCTTTAAGATTAAACCCAAAAACCTTTAAGTTTTTACTTGCTTTTGCACCACGTGTAGCTAGAAGATTTTATATCTTGGCATCACGTAGGCTGACAATTTGGGAGCACCAAGAAGCAACCCAACGCACTTGACATCCATTTCCTAGGTGGTTACAAATGGAACACTCTGCTAAGCTACAACTCCGCGGTACGCAAGTTCGGGAAGTTCAAAGAAGCGACCAGGCAGAGAGAATACTCTCTCCCGGTAAGCGCCCCAGAACTCTACGAATTCTGCTACAGCAGTTCCCAGAAAGCTTGCGCTCGCGAGCTCCTGGGATCTGATTTTTTTTTTATTTTCTTTCAACTTTTTTTTGCGCCTCGTAACCTGTACACATGACTGTACAGGTTGGGAATCTGCTGCCGAGGCCGGGTGAGGCCTCCGGGCACCTGTGGGGTGCCTGGTGGGGGCTGGGTAGAACGGGTGTAATGACCGCTTCCGGCTCAAAAAAATGAGAGGAATCCAATGGTCCAACTCCCATAACTTCAACTTGAAAAATGGGGGAGTTGGGCCATGATGCCTGGAATATTATGGCTGTACGAGGCCACGTACAGGACAGAAAAGCAAAGAAAAATCGAGGCACAAAAAAAAAAAATAGGGATCCCAGGAGCTCGCGACAGCAAGCTTTCTGGGAACTGCTGTATTGGGCCGGAAGGAACGCAACAACCACGAGCCCTCAAGACGTAGCGTCCAAGACGCTTACCAAATACTTGTTCGGGATACAGGCCTGGCACCTCTACCACTCCACCGTATACCCCCCAGAAGCCAAGGCCAAGATCACAGTCTTGTTACGCTCTTCCGCCCACGCCGACGCACAATCTCCTAAGCGACCCCGGAAAGCGCCGGTGATGCTCAAACATCTGGTCTCATTGACCGAGACACTCCTCCCTGGTGGTCCATACCAGAAAGCAGTTTTAGACTTAGCCATAACCGCCTTCTGGGGGATGGCTAGGCTGTCTGAGCTAACCTCCAAACGCGAAGAAGGGACCTTGAGATGGTCCGCTACCTTGTTTACGTCAGACGTCAAGCTCTACCAAACACCACTAGGAATAGCGGCCGCCCTAGAAATCCGTGGAGCAAAAACCTGTGCGCCAGGCGACAGTCAGACGATCCACCTCCAGGGCTTGAACCACATGCTCTGCCCCGTAGCAGCGGTGAAAAGAAGGATCGCTGAAGCTGGGCCCAACGACGTCCCGCTTTTTGGCTTCAACACTCCCACCGGCCGGGTCAACTTAGTTAAGGCTAAAGTAGTCAGGACGCTAGGACAAGTTTGGAGCGAGCACGGATATCAGGGAATCACTGGCCACTCTTTGAGGGTCGGCGGTACTTCGCTACGATTCGCCATCGGCGTTCCGGTAGAAGAGATCTGCGCACTAGGGAGGTGGACCTCCAACTGCTACAAACTCTACCTCAGAGACTACTCCGACCATGACTTAGAAGATTCCTTGTCGCTGATCAAGAGTCTAGAAAAGGCTTGGGTGCAATAGATCGTCTTATGTAAAGAGAAATCTAGGGAACAGAAGCGGAGGTGTTGGGCTCGAGGCCATACCTGACCCGAGTTTTGGGCCTGACACCTTCCAGGGCACACTCCGGTGTGCACTTCTGCTTTGGGGGGGGCGCTGCGACTCGCTCGTACTCCCTCCGCTGGGTCGGATAAGACACAGCTGTCCCTCGGGACGGCACTACAGTGTCTCTGAGTCCGCTCGCCCCCCCCCCCTACACCCCACACACGGCGGTCTTGGGGAACCCACCCGAGTGGTTGGCTCCCGGGATTGCCTAGGCGGCTGGCAACCCAGCCGCTGAACATGTCCAGAAGCGTTACGCTCTGGTGCCCAGGAAAGCGAGAGGTGAACTCCGCTTCTCTGAGTAGAGTGACGCCAAGACCTGCGCCTGCGCAGTAGAGGTCTAGCGGTCCACTCCATAACCTTCGCTGTCTCCGAGACGCTGAGGTATGTTGGACGCAGAGCAAATTATCAGATCAGGTACTGTCCGAAATATGAAAAAATTGTCACCAAAAGATTGGGAACTCAATTGTAGCCTGACTGACCAAGTGGTGTCCTTGAGGTCGGTCCAGCTGGTCCCAGACTCCCACTGCCCAGTTTTTTTGAGGATCACAGATCGGAGTCGGTTTCCCATGTCTGGAGCCAATTACTTGGTTGCTGGTTAGCTGGAAGTATGCAAACGAGCAACCGAAAACTCGGTTTCAACACACATTGCCCAGAGGCTCTCCGTAGAGACAATCAACCTTCACTCATCCCAACGCATACTTCATGTCATCTACTACTTGATCCTTCTTTTTTTCGCAATCTTAGCGAGTTTCTTCAGGCCTATGGTCTTCGTTTGTCAACAAAGTTTCACGTTAACAGTCTCCTACAGTGGAGGACTGGGATGCCAACGGGAGTTCGATGAGATGCATAGCCGGTCGTCGCGCTATTACCAGGTGAGCTGATGACTCCTTTCACCTTTGTCCACTCGGGAGTCGGGACGACTCATGAATGTAACTCAGCCTGTCAAGCAAACTGGCCTTAAAAAATGAAACGGGGCATATTGACTGCCTGGCAGCGTCATCAAATGTCTGATCCATAATTGAGCTAGGTTGAACTTGAAGGCGTTTCCTTGGCAATGGTTCACATGTCACAATTAACCGAATCGCCTCAAGTGTAGGCTCCTGGAGCAGAATGGCGACGGATGTCGTCCTTGCTGTGTTTCAAAGAAAAACAAGACCTGGTTGTGAGGAGTTGAATATCTTGATCGCGCCCCACGATCAGATTTAAAAGCAGCCCAATCTTGACATTTTTTCCTGCTGCTCCGTCAGGCGTCACTCAACACTTTCCTCATCTTTGCGCATTTCTAAATACTCACTTCTTACACAACCCTCAACAGTCAGAATAGATTCAGGCTCACTAACCCTCCATTGTCTGCACACCTTGCAAGCTTAGATCTTTGCAGCAGCCTACGGAATTAGATACCTCAATAACTTGTAATGCAGCTTGTATCGGTTGCGTTATTTTCCTGGACAGCGCTATTGTTTGGAGTGCTGGGTGCAGACCCAAAAAAAAACTTTTCAAATGTAACGACTTGACAGCTCAACAAGGTCAAGATAAAACAGCTGGGTGGTGTGGTGTAACTTTAAAGAGCGACAAGGGTGTACAAATCAAATTAAGTGAGTATTTCCTTTCATATATTTCAAAAATGGATCCATTGATAGATCTAGCAGCTGTATTCTTTGCTGATGTAATTGATTATTTCCTGATATTAACCTTTCTGGAATTTGTAGTTGCTGTGGCTACAAACACTAATACAGATAAAGGAGCACCCCCAGTCTACACTTGCTTCAAAACTAATGCACAAAACAATTATTGTTGTAAGACTGAAATAAAAATGACAAATGTCAGTATGAGTATATTCTACTTCTTGCTGTAAATTCAAAATTTGGTGTATTGATTGAATCCCAACTCCTCAACTTCAATTTTAAAAGAATCAACCTGTGATTCTCAGTCAGGATGATGGTACAAGTAAGAAGTGTGTTGCCAAGACAGCAATAAAACAAGGGCCTTCATAAAAAAAACACAGTTTTTCATGTTTTGATGGCTGCGTGCAGCAGACGCGAATTGTGCGTTTGGACGTGTTTTTTTAATTAATTTTTTACAGCTTGTTTTTTATGATTTTTTGAATTTTTAAATTTTTTTCCTACACTTTAAAGGGTTCAGAATTCAATGGTAAAGTCCATTTACCATGAAAATTACTTTTGATTATTATTTTTTTTTGCTCACTCACTTGCCAAAAAAAGGCAAATCAAGAGTGCCCAACTGCACCAGTGGAGTATGTCCATAAATATCTGAATAGGGAACAGACATGTGTCTTTCTTGATTTAAAACCAAATAAAATGTGAGAATTTGCCTAATCTTCACCTTTGGATGATTCAAGGGCACAGTTACATCTCTCAGGAATAGGTCTTGCAATAATTGCTGCAGAGTTGCCAGTTCTAGATTAAAATAATTAATAAAAGCTGAGATCAAGGGCTACAAGAAGGTCTATTTGGGTCTTCTTTTGAAGGTGAGGATTAGAATTGGAAGAGATGTAAATAAAATTGTGTGATTTTCTTTTTAAAGAACTGCCAGCCTCAGGCTGCAGGCAACGGTGGGCCGCTACGCTACACTACGCTAAAGGGCCACTTAGCGTTAGTGTAGCGGGACTAAAAGGGGTCCTTTTTTCTGTAGTGTTAGCGTTCTGCTACCGCCGCTACGCTACACTATAGTGCCACTAACAGGTGGCTTGTTTCTGGGTAGTGTTAGCGCACCACTACAGCCACTATGCTGCATTACGCTGTGCTACAGTGCTTTTAGCGGCAAAAAACGCAAAAAACCCGCTAAAAAACGCCATAGCGCGGATTAGCGGGCATATTTTTGTTCCCTGGGCGCGTAGTGTTACTGCCTTACAAATTTCTGCGCTAACGCTATGCTGACAGCTAACGCACTCTTGTGCCCTTTGCTTGTAGTGTTAGCGCAGAAATGTGGGTTTTTTGCTAACACTACGCTACAAAGTAGCGTATTTTTGCTGTGCTATGCCACACTAACGCTACGGTTAGCATGGCTGGCCCACCATTGCTGCAGGTTTCACTTGAGTTATAAGTTTTGCCTTTGGAGATAATTCACGCCTCCTCCAGAGAGGCTTAGTTAAGATTTTCTCCATCCTTCAACATCCTGTGACTTTACAATTTTTTTTGAAACCTACACCTAGGGCACACACCCACATGGGCTGACATCACTTTTACTGGCAGAGCCAACAAGTAACCACTGTGGGTAGCCAACAAGGAATCTAGTAGGGCTACAGTTTGAGAAACCCCAGTGTCCCCACAAAGTATTCCAGCAAGGATTGAACCCAGCCATCAAACTGAGGTCACTGTTTGACAACAGGGACCCATGAGCCCTGGTCCACACCATCATAGCAGGAGCTCTCCCATCTGAGACCAGATCACTTGCACTCATGATTGTTTCTGGATTTTTTTTTGACTCTGCAACCAAAGAAAAATTGCTCATGAGGGTTGGACATTGTGGAATCAATGTGGGCAACAAGCCCATGTTTTCCTGACCAACTCAGACATGGTTTTGTGGAACCATCAACAAAAAAAAGGTTGGTTCATTGAACCAACAAGAAATCTGAGGCCCCATTTGGCCGTGCGTAATTTGTAATTTTGAGTTGAGTTTTGGCAGGAGTTTGTGCAAAAACTTTGTATTGTTTTATATCGCACAGTCCAAATCCGCGCCAAACCTTAGCCAAATCACAAATTGTGATTTGCGTCCAAACGGGGCCTGAGATTAAAGGATCTTATACCAAACTTTTACAGAGCTGATCTTGTGGATTTCACAGATCAGATGTGTTTTTTTGGATCCACAATGCTGCATTTCACAAGGTGCCCCTAGGGTGTAACCATCAATCAATTGTCATCCCCCAACTCACACTCACTGTTGGAATTTCATCGCTCTTGCACATTCTCCGCTTGCGCTCCGCTCTCTTCCCTATCTACCGCTCTCTCTTGTTCCCCATCTGTCACACCTTCAACTGTCTCTCTCTCCCTTCTCTCCATAAAAAACACTTCCAATACAATTAATCACGCCTTGTCTCACTGTCTTCAACACAACCATCAAGCCTTGCAAGCCTCCTCCTGAAACAATCATCCCAATCAAAACCTATCTGAATCTCAACCACAGGTCAGACAATGATCAATCAAAGTCTCGCAACCACAAGCTGAACCTCAACCAATCATCTATAAATAAAGGCTGAGTGACTCCCCATATTCCTTTTCTTCCTCAGCAGTGTCAAAACATATTGACAAAACACCAATCTTCTTCCTCCATCCTTCATCCCTGCCACTACTGCTCGGCCTATCACTCTTGCCGTCTCATCAATCCAAACTCCTCAACAATTCCGCTCTTTGTCTCACTCCAACTTTGCTTCTTCTCATCCCTATTTCTCTATCTTTTCCCCTCATAAATCTGCTTGTTCATTCTCATCAACAACAACTTCACATCATCTTGACATTGACTTGTCCTGCTCTCATTCTCATTCTGCCCACTCTCTTGCTTGAAATTCTCGTCTGGCTTTTGCCAATTTGGTGAGAAATACTATATTAAAATTCTCCTCAAAAATTGACTTGGTTATTGACTCTTTCTTCTCATAATTTCTCATCTTAAAAATAGTGCCTACTATATATCACTGTTTGATATCATTCATTTCAGTCTTTAAGTTCTTTCTAATTCAAAAAATAATTCTTCTTGTTGTAAATTTTCCTTTCTATTCTCAAACTCATTAATTGTTTTTCATTGCATTTTGTTTCTGTTGAAATTCTTCTAACAAATTGTTTTCTTTAAATATGATAGTTCTGGTTCTAGTTTCAATAATAATTCCTGTTTTTCATCACTCACACTCACAAGTATCACAAAATTGTGCATCCCCATTTACCTGCCTCAGGTGCAGGCCACACACAATTTGAACTTTGAAAATCAAAACTGGGGATGCATTGAGCAAGTTTTACACTCACATTTAACACTCTGTGTTAAATTTTCTCTAAAATTGGCACCAAGGTTAGACTGAGACAGGTTCTCAACTCACTGGAGGACTTCCCATTGTCCAAATATGTGAATTTATAAGGGCATTCTAAATGTTATTTGCTGGTGAAAATTGATTGAGATCAATTTTTCACCAGCCAATAGAGTTTAGGACCCCCTTTTAAAATAAGCAATTCAGGCAACAGGAAGCCCCCTACTTGACCCCTCTCCCCCCAAAGGTCATCAATTCAACACTCCCAAGATGGGGGCAAATACACGTACTTTTACATGCAGCTGTTGGCTGCTATGCATAAGCAGTTTTATTCTAAGCCGACACTGTCTGGGCCCAGACATAAAAAGTGTGTTGCAATGCACAAGCTTAACCAAAAAACTAAAAAAAGGTGGAATGCTCAAACAAGCAAAATCAAAATCAGTTGAGATAATCACTTTGGCTCTACTGACAATTTTACTGTGTAAATTTAAATCCATCAATATGGTTGTGGCTGACTTGCTGAGGTTGTTGAGTCATGCCAAAATAAATGGCTGTTGTGGCTGCCCCTAGGGTTCCAACCCAATGCCTCGGAGCCGGATTCTGTGCATCCCGAACCCTGACCCCGCGGATATCCGGCACCTAGCCGGGTTTCTCCGGATCTCTAGCATAAATTTTTTTATGCTTTTTTTGCTATACTGCTGTGAAAAAAGGGGGTTCAGGGCGGGAAGGTTGGAGCTGAGGTGCAGCAGCTAGGCCCCCAAGCGGGTTTGATGCGGGTCATCCCCGCAAATCCCCGACTTCTGGGGGTTTTCAGGATCCGACCGGATGCCGGATCTCTCTGGGTCGATCCCAAGCCCTGATCCGGTTTGCGGGTTTTCCGGATCTTGCCGGATCTGCGGGGTCCGGATTGGAACCCTAGCTGCCCCCATCCTTTCCCCAAAAGCAGCATGTTACATTTGCCACATTTGTCACATTATTAGCCCTACATACCACCAGACAGAACTTGTACTCTTGATAATTGAGCAATGTGTTTAATGTTTATTTTTCCTTTGACCTAAATTTGTGCTACACACACTCTGGATTAGAACAATCTTTTTTCCTGATTAGTGGAGGTAGATTGCAAACATTGGTAATGGATGACCTTTTTGCTGTTGTGCATCAAGGGTTCCAATTGCACCTTGAAGCTTATGTAATTGTCGAGTGCAGTCATGCCGATGTGTGTGCCATATCGGCAGTGGCAGTGTGGTGGTCCGGTGGCGCATACATCCAAGAAAGGTTGAGTGGGAGTCTCCGGATGAGTGGCAGAGGTGGCCCGAGCGAGAGTGAGGGTCGGAGAGCTGCATACATACTCAAACAGGAAACTGGTCATCCGACAAGAAAGCAGTACATGTACCCAAAAAAGAAAGCTGGATCCACAAGACATCGACGAAGAAGAAGATGAAAGACTCCATCCTCAACGTCAGCAAAGCATTCGACCTTCTCTTCCACGACGATCTCAATGGGGCCAGGGTCTTACTCCAACAACAGACTCAGTCAGACCAGCCCTATCACCATGTCGCACTGGCACTAATCACCTTCATCGAGGCGGTCTTGTCCATGGAGGAACAGATGATCGCAAAGGTTTGGGATTCTTTTTGACCAACTTTATCTTCAGTGATACTAATCTATCTATGTTTTTTTCTCGATTGAAACTTGTAGGCTTTAGAATCCTTACTCAAATCGGAAGAAGCTGTCAAACAAGCTAAGAATGCTCTCGTCTCGACTGGCTCAACCGACTCTAATCAGGCTATCGCTCAACATTGGTGGATACCAGGCTTGGAGTACGATATCTTACTGGCCGACCTCATGATCTTTCAAGCAATCCTTCACTTTTTGGCCGAGACGATTTCAGAGTATGTGCTTGCATCCTAAATGAACCAATTCAATTTATTTGATTTTTACATCCCCCAATTTCACAAGTATCTGATGATGGTTTTTTTTTTGTAATTGCAACGGCAGTGGAATGAAAGGAATTTACAAGATCACGAAAGCCTACAAGATATTCTCGAGTTCGCATCAAGCGGTATTCTCCGAGCTCCAAGCGACGAATCCGATCTCGAGTCTGACGTCACATGCGGATGAGGAGCCAGGCATCGAGCCCTTCCAAGCGACGATCCAGGCGTTATACGCGAAGCCGAAACCGCATCCCTCGACGCTGATGGGCTCGTCGTATTTCAGTGGGTTCAGTCTAAGTTTATACAAGCGAAAGAAGCCCGGTCCTGGTCCGTCAGAGGGCGCGACACCCAAGTATAAAGCCTGGACAGACGACCCGATCGCTAGTCTGGTCATAGGTGGTGCGGCCTTCGGATACGGTCTCTTCGGCCTCATCCTCAGCTTCCTGCCGCCTAAGGTCAAGAAACTTTTGTCTTGGGTCGGCCTCAACGGGCCAAATACTATCGACAGAACCGAGACCATCCTCGAACGCAATCGTTGTCTCCGGTGGCTTAATTTCTCTCATGCCTCTTGTCACTGGGAAATGCATGGGAAACTGGCTAGTTTGGCTCTGCTCACCTATCGCTCTGCTATGCTCAAGGGTAAGTCCCCCCTCCTTTTTTCGGTAAGAGATTACGACCAACTAGACCAATGCTGATCTTCCTGACCGCGTCTTTCTGCCAACAAAAAAAATATAGCTGTCGGATGGCTTGCAGCCCGAGATCGATCTCTCCAAGCTTATGAAACTTTAGTCGACTCACTATCTCATAAAACCCCGACGATTGAGGAGAGTGAACAGGGAGCACTATGGATCCTTCATCGCTCGAAACTACTAGTAATGAAAGGACAGGCCGAAGATGCGAAAAGACTGATCTCCACTCGACTCCATCCTACCCCTCATCCGAACGAGCCCAAGAATTCTTCTTCTCTCCCCCCGAAATTCCAACATGCCGTCGGACTCTTGTATTACGAATATGCACTCATTTGCGTCAGGTTGGCTGATTGGTCTTCTGCTGGTGAAGCTTTCTTATCCATGAAAAAGGAAAACGCTTGGGTAAGTAATTCTTGATGATCTCACCCTCCAAAATTACAAAAAAAAACCCTGCCCTCTAGAGACCACCTCAACATAAATTGAATGCCTTTCTTTCTTTCTTTTTTTTGGTGCATGGGTTGATGTATCTATATATTCGTGTGTGTGTATGTTTGGGTAAGGGAATCCACAGTCACACGTGACGTACCAATTTGCTGCCTTGGGGTGTTTCTTGTTGGTGGAGAATCGAACGGACAAATTGCAGAAAAAAATTGACGATTTATTTGTAGAGCTTCCTAATTTATTCAGCAAGAAGAAAACAATGGGTCGTAAGTCCTCAATTCTCCTTCTCATCAATAGGATAAATTCATGAAGGTTTAAGTGTTTCTTCTTATTTTTTTCGATGTGATTCATATAGGGGAAATGCCGCCACATGAATTGTTGGTCACGCGTAAGCTGGCAGAGTATAAGGCCAAACATGCCGATCTGGTACTCAAGGGTTCCATCCGGACTGATCGAGCAGAATGTTATTGGGATTCGATTCAGATCAGTCCGATTGAAGGTAAGGCCAATTCATCTCCTCAATAATCTTGCCGATCTTTCTATTAAAAACAACGATAGTCGGAATGTTAACTTTTATTATACATGGATTACGCGTATAGAGCTTGGATTATTGATGGCCATTTACGATGAATCTCCAAAGACGACTTTAGTTTCTGGTATCCGACGGTTGTCCGGCCTGAGCCCTCCGGTCGAACTAGATCCCAAGGCTATCCCGGCCGATAAGACCGTCGACCAGGTTGAGAAAAAAGAGGAAGATCCAGGCCTGTCGGAAGAAGAAAAGATGAGCCGACTGAAGCTCAACGATTCCCGCAAGCAGAAGGACAAGGAGGCCGCGGTGATCAGCTTGTCGAAAGAAGAACAGTGTATGCGCGACTTATTGTTGGCCGTCCAGTTCCTTAACCTCGGTCAATTCGACCAGTCTCGTCAATTCTTGAATAACATCCTTCGCACAAATCCATCTTCTTCATCAACACCCCAAGAACCATCGCAACCAGACTCTCTCGGCGGTAACATGGACTACAATTATATCTCTGCTATGATCTGTAAAGCGTTGGTCGAACTCAACGAACTCGACCGATTGTTGTTGGCAGGTCCATCAGCAGCCTTGTCTTCGGCTGATCAACCTGGGCAACCCCCTCTAGATCAGAACATCTCAATCGCCGAGAAACTTGTGGATGGCAAAGCTCCCCTTAGCGGCCTTACTCCGCATTCAAAGAGTGCCGATAAAGACGAGCAACAGAGATTTGTCGATCTCTGTTTCTCGAAACTTCGGGGCGCTGATTCGATCTTGAATTCTATCCTCGAGTTACCCGAAAGCTATCCCATGAGGTTTGTCATATTCATTCATTTATTTATTTTTCCTTCACCATCTGATAATAATGTTTTTTTTTGTGGGGGGTGGGGTGATTGGTCGTGTCTCAGAGGTAGAACTGAATCTAAAATCCAACTGCTCAAAGACGAAATTAATGAGAAGATTGACTCGTTAAACATTCTCTTCAAACTTAACCCTGCCAAGTGAATATCTCAACGAATTCGACGTATATTTTTTTCATTATAGAAGATAGAAGATCAGCCACTTAGAGAAAAGACTCAAGAATAAATTAGAGTTTTTTTCTGGGGTGTTTCATGAAACCCACGCATTGTGATCATCAACCCTAGTCAAACCAGCACCGCTTATGAATATAATCTCAGTCGTTTGTAAACAGGAATGTTGACGTAAAATAGGGAAATACGAGAGTTGTTTAGATAAATTTTCTCATCATCATCTAGCTACATTATGTTTTGTAACATTAAACACTTCCTTCTACATACGTCTCTTCATTTCCCTTTTTTCGATTTGATTGATTGTTTTAGTTTGAATTCTTTTTGTAGTTCATTGTTGTACCATTTGCTTCAGGATTTATCCATCTCGTTTGGTTCTACTAACATCCACATGTGTGTGGTATGTTGTGCGCGATTGTTTTTTGTCTATATCTAGAACATCGTTGAAGAGATAATCATGTTATGTTTGATTAGGATTGTAATGATTACGTTTTTTTGTTTATTTCTTTTTCTATATTGATTCCAAGCCTGATCCAGTTCTTGGTGCAATTTTATTATAATTGAGTGTGAGGATTTCACGCAGAGGCATGATGCATTACTTGGCAAGATTCTTCAACCTGAAGGATAGTTGGGTAAGTGGGCATTATGGATGTCATGATACGAGTGACAATCGCTTGTTATCAGTGATATAAATTATGACAGGATAGGACATTCTCCATACATAAAGCACAATAAGCAATGGTAGACAGGACTGAGAAGCACTGCTGATTGTGGAAAATCAAGACCTTGCACTTCATCACGGAATGAAGCAACTAGCCATGATGGGTAGAAAAGAATACAGAACAAGAGATCAGTGGTTGATTGCACAATAAGTCCTAGAGTCTGCAAGCGCTTTCCGCTTGCTCTCCCTCTTGAAGTCTACTAGGATAACATCTTGAAGTTTATCCTAGGTGACTATCCACTCGCTGCTTTTCATTTTCTTGTTGGTTATCTTGGATTTTGTTTGACTATCACTCCGATAAAATACATTCTAGGTCTTGAAAGTTATTTCGAGTTCAAAGCTGGAGCCTATGTACAAATATGGACCTATCCGAGTGTTGATTTGGACCGGATTGAGAGAAAGAAAAGGCGGAAGAGGGGATGTAGATAAGCTGCCGGTAACCAAGCTGGCATTTTTCTGGCGCTCCTCAATGGGAATAGTAATACCACGACCACATTTTCAACACAAATGCAAGCACCAAAATCCACAAGAGATCGGAAGGTGGTTTTTGATTCCGCGGGAGACATTTTTCCGCTAGAGTTAGTTGATAGCCAATAAACCTTCGACTGTGGTATTCATCACTATCATAATTTATAGGTGAAACCTCCCGATGAGCTTCCTCGGAACTGTCGTAGCCTTTCCCATATCCGCGAGCATAGTCTATGTTTTTCGAAGCGGCGTCTTTCAACTCATTTTCTTTTTCAAACTCATCTCCAGAATAGGAGTGGGCTTCATGGTTGTAATACCGAGGCAGATAAGTTGGGCCATTTGAAGAGCTAGTTTCTTCCGATCCAATGCCATACGATCGCGCGGTTTCCTTTAAGTTTGACCATTTCGAGGAAAGTGTGAGTGCGGTGACGATCAGTAAAAGCTGAACAGGATCACTCACTGCAGGTCGGCCATCATGATACTGCGCGAGGTTATGATGGGAAGAGGCCTCATTTGACATGTCTTCGATATCGGATTGAGTTTTAGTTTTGCCCTCAAAAGAAGATCGGGAAGTTTGGCCCATAACCCGATTCGCAGTGCCATCAGGCGACAAATTCTTATTTTGCCTTTGAAAAATCGAATCATCTTCATCATAGAAGCCTTGGAACCCAACAGGGACTTTTCCGGACCGCGGAAGCGGTGAATAGGCGGAAGAAACTGTCGCCTCTGCCTCCGAGTCAGATAAATTGTCGGCTTCGTTCAATCCATTGACCAGATCGTAAGGTTCTGAAGTGCCCGCAGAGGATTGACCAATTATGGTCGACAGCTTTGTTTTCACACAAGGGGATTCAATTAGTAGTGGTTAATAAACAGGAATATTTGAGGAGGAATATAAGTGAAACATGGGAAAGATGCGATACCAACCAGTAGGAGCAATGAAGGCAAATGAGCGGTTAACATTTCTCAGAAAAGATTAACGTGTTGGTTTTCGTTTCTTACGCGTCCTTGTGCAGAAGAGCTGTTCAAGGAAAGATAACTCCAAGCATCCCTTGGTCTTTAGGGTTCCGAAGTTATGACCTGTCATGGAAGAGGTTGGGAGATTCGACAACTTGTACTTCTCAGACAAATCAGGTTCATCCAAACACTTAAGGAACCGGCCCAAGTGCCAGATACACAACTGCATGGTAGAAGAACCGGCACCGAGACTTCTTGAGATCTGGAGTTTAGAACTGTTGAGACTGGTAGGGTCAGCTGTAGCCAGCACAAGTCATTGGTTGCCTCGCGTCTCCGTGCAAGTTGGGTGAAACTTTGGGAAATATCATTCAGCATCAATCATTCAAAACCCTCCATCTTTCCCTAACTTTTTACAACATTAGCAATAATTTGACCCCTGAGCTCCCATGGCAGTGAGCCTAACACAACCTTCTGAGTGAGAGCCGAAGGTCTCTGTCTGACAGAGAGGCTTGCTGCCAGATCCCCAAATCTGAGGTGCCAAAAACTCATCTTTTTATCAGAAACTAGTGGAGGACTTCCCGTCGGATCTGGGACGCTCGAAGATGTCGATTTAGACCCGAAAAGTCTAGAATTTTGCTGGGAAATCTAGCTTTCGAGGCCTCTAAATCACTTCTGGGAGACCCGCAGATGTGACCGGAAGTTGTCCAGTATTTGCCCCCGGTTTTGGGGAGTTGGACTTGTTGCCCTGGTTTTTACCCTGAATATCAGGGAGTTTTCCTCAATGACTGGATGACTTCCTGTCAACATCTGCAGGTCTCCCAGTTTTGATTTAGAGCCGCAAAAGCTAGATTTCCCTGTGAAATTCTAGACTTTTCTGGTCTAAATTGCAAACTGAGAGGGTCCCAGATCTGACGGGAAGTCCTCCACTGTTTGCCCTTTTTGCAGGTATTGCTTGAATTGGGTGCCTGTCTTGGTCTAACATTGGTGTTGACAAATATGAATTGGAGGTCAATGCCAGTGTTAGATTGCATGGCAGTTTATTCTTTAGGCCTTGTTTGGCCGTCCACAATTGTAATAGGCCGTTGTCTCAAATCTTTAAATCAGAATCTTGGTTTGATCCATTCTAACTAGCCTTACCGACACTCGCTCAAAAACTGGGTCTTGCGCTCGCCGCGAAGAGCCTGAGTTTGAGCGCGTACGGGAAGAAGATAGGGAGGCGTGGCGCGCCGGGCCAATAATGTGGCCTCCCTTCTGGCCGGACAGGTAGTAGATGTGGTTTGTATTAGATGCAAACGGGGAGGGGTGTTTCTGAAACACAAAGCCCGTACAAAAAAGGGGTGGGTGGGTGGATGTGAGAAAAATGCTAGCGCAGACGGAGGAAAAACCGAGTAAGTGCTAGTAGGAGATAGAAAAAGGCTCTCGGCTAGCTACCGGATCTGAGGGGGGAAGGTGGATAGGCAGGGAGGATCGTGGAGATCTCTTCTCTTAAACCTTCCCAGTGAGGCAGATCATGTGCAGGTGGTCCAAGCGCTGGGTTCCCTCTTAGGCTCGAGCGCTCTGTACCAGCCTGACTAGTGGCTAGCCGGCCGGTCTCCATGGACGTCAGTGACAGGGCTACGCCTTTGTCACTCCTCATCCATTCTAAGTAGCCTTACCGACACTTGCTCAAAAACTGGGTCTTGCGCTCGCCGCGAAGAGCCTGAGTTTGAGCGTGTAAGGGAAGAAGATAGGGAGGCGTGGCGCGCCGGGCCAATAATGTGGCCTCCCTTCTGGCCGGACAGGTAGTAGATGTGGTTTGTATTAGATGCAAACGGGGAGGGGTGTTTCTGAAACACAAAGCCCAAAGTCTAGGATTCCTTAGGGGAGCCTTGATCTGTGGAGAGAAAAACCCCCAACTGTCCTAAGAATCTTACAAACGTTGCAAATCACAAATCCATCCGAGAGCCACTACGTTTGAACTGACGAACCAAAGCTTTTGTTTTCTTCAAATCGTCTGAAGAATAATCTCTCAGGTACAGCTTGTAGCTGTCTGATTTCCATCTGCCCAAGAGGCAGATATCGGAAATTGACATCCCGAAAGCCGCGCAGAATGATGCGCCGCCAACTCTGAAGGAGTGTCCCATGAGGCCTGCGTAACCGCCATTCTCTAAAACTGTTTCCAAACGGGCTACAGCCTGCTTCCTGGTCAGGTGTCGCCGGTGATATACCGCCCCGTAGCCGAATAGAGAGGTCCTTGCCCCTTCAGCCGAAGATAGTCGTTGTTTTATGGCCAGGACTGGGCACAGTATGTGTCGCTGTTTGGCCAGCGTGATCAACTGAGGTTCCCCAGGTAGCCCGGTCTTAGCGTTACGTAGCATTAGAGTGACCGTCTCCCCGAATAATGTGTCCGCTCCTAATGTTACATCCGAGGTTAACAACAAGTCGACGAAACTCACATCACCGGTTTCTGTACTATAAGTCAGTTCTGCCAGTCTGGCCAGACCCCAAAAGGCTACTATTACCATGTCCTGTAGTGCCTTGTCGAAGTCGTCTCCTTTCGTAAGACTCAGCCACAGATGTGACATGTGCCAAAACATTATAGGAACCTTTGGCGGCTTCTTCGTCGCCGCCTCGTCTTCCCTGCTCGACGCCTTCAGGATCAGGTCCACGCGTGTCTTGTTTCTTGTCGGGAAAACCGCGTTGTGGTACACGTGCCAGGCTTTCAACCCCGCCACGTATTTGCGTAGTGACAGCGAGGAGATCTTCCCTGCGTTCGAAGAGACGGCGTTCCTCCCTGCCCAAATGCAAAACTCTTCCAGCATAGCCTCCGTGATTGGTAAACGGAACAAAGATATACCCGCGTGTTTTTGAAAACGTATAAATTTTGAGACCGCGCTCGTGTAACCTGATAGGGTTGAAGATTTCCAAGCTGACAGTAGATGAATGTCTGTTTTTGTCGGGGGTCTCTCTATCGTACCATCGCGCAAAAACGGGCTGATTTTTTGGAAATTCACATTATTTGTCAATTTGGAAAGCATCGTGCCTCAGTAGCGATGATTGCTCAAAAGCCTAAAGTGCTTTGGGTGACAGAAAGTGAGATGGTTGGAACAAATTCGCAGAGAAGGAATGAAAGAATAACAAATTCAAATTAAAACAACACGGCGCGGTGGTTCACATATAAGATAAACAGAGTCATCCATTCATGCGTGAAACATGAACTCCTGTAGGTCAATCGGAATGTTTATCCAGACCCTATCTACGGGCATGTGCGGACGCTGTATGCCCCTGGACAAGCCATCAGCCGCGTTCTCCGCAGAGATCACCCTTAAGGGGGTCAAATCTATCTCTAAAGAGATGAGTAGTTGCTGTATTTGTTTCCATTCCTCGTTGGAGTGATGGTCCTTTGATTTCCTGGTAGCCAGCACACTCTCGGTGGTGGTGTTGTCCGTGTACACAACGAAGTTGGACCCTTTAGTGTTGCCGCGTATGTCTAGCAACATCAGGATACCGACTCTGATGGCAATGGTTTCTAACCAAGCGATTGTCCTTGGCGGGGTTGCAACACGCCAGTTCTCTTTGAGTCTGAGTTGCGCCCATCGCCGCCCAATAAGGACGCCTATCCCAAAGCTGGTGGAGGCGTCTCCGACCCAGTGTATCTCTAAAGGCTCGGTCTTGGGGCATATCCTCGTATGTTTATAGGTGTCCAACGTTAATAACCAAAACTTCAAATCCGTTTCTACGTCGTCTGGGATCTTCCTTGTAGCCCAGAGTTTTTTCCACTGGTTCATCCACCTATAAATACTCCGAATGTAGCATCTTAATTGTGGTAAAATAAAGGAGACATGGTTTAGGCGTCCCGCGAGAATTTCGGCTTCATTGAATCTGAACTCAGCACCTTTGGCTAGGAAGACCTGTATTTGAGACTTCCTTTCTGATAACTTCTTCTCTGGCAGTCTAACCGTTTTATCGACTCCATTCCATATAAAGCCTATGAATTTCTGTTCGTCAGCGAAGTCGGAACATTTCTCGATGCTGGTCGCCACCCCTAACTTTACCGATCTGTTGGTGATAACACTCATCTTGCAGACAGAATTCGATTTTTTGATAAAAAGGTTGTCATCAACCCAGCGAAAGATTTTTACCACGTCGAACTCATGTTCCATTATGCGTTTCCACACGTCCGCAGGTATTCCGAATGATCCGCAACCGGCGACACCTCCGAAAGTTATTCGAGTGTCTAAGTAAAGCCTCCCACTTAGATCTTTCACCATGAGAAATGGCCATTGTGACATTAAAGTGGGTATTTGCCAGTATGCCTTGGCCCAGTCAAACAATGCAAGCTTGAAAACTTCGTTATTTTTCCTAAAGAATTCGGAGACAGTTTTGAAATCATCCCAGGTTGTCGAGAAGTCTTGCTTATTCACGAAAGAATTTACGGATTTAATGTTCTCATCGTTCTTAGGGTATGACAAGTTGTTAATTGGTCGCATCTTTCCGTCCGCGTTGACTACCGATCCTAATGGGCTGGTTCTGAAGAACGGGAACTTTTGAGCAACCTCTTCGTGTGAGTACGGGCCAAACATTCTTCTGCTCGATACCTCCTCTTCTATGGACTTCTGTATCTTCTCTGCCGCCTCGTTTGCTGAGGAATGATTATCCGGTGTATACCATCTTAAGTCACCTATCCTGTGGATTGGGATCCCTTGGTCGAAACCAAACTCAAAACCTTTTAGTACGTGTTCTAATTCTGGCAACAAGTCAGCTTTTGTGAGAGCTAACCGCCATTCTTCCAAATTCATTTCGCAGTTTATTTGGGCAGGCCAAAATAATCTATATTAAACAAACGATAAGAGAAAGAAAAACAACCATGACAAATGCGAGATATAACAAAATCAAAATTCGGATGATCTCCACACCGCAATTGTACAACAGGGCTATGAGAACCTACTGTTTCCCTTCATTCTGTTCTTCTCTCTTGCCTCCTTGGCTCCTCCCACCCCCATCATTTCCCATGTTCGCCCCGCCTTTCCAACGTTTGCGACTCTCTCCGGTACCGGACGACATATTTTGATTAATGTATCCGTAACCGGAATTAGACTGGTTATTAGGATTGTTATAACCGTGATTACTTTGGTTCGTAAAGTTACGCCCCCGGTTGAATTCTTGGTTAGGAAATGGTTGATAGGGTTGACCATTCAAGAAAGGCTGATTGAAGTGATTATACATTGAGTTGTGTTGATCACTTCCTGGGTTAAAATAATTGTAAGGTTGCCCCCAACCTTGGTTTTGATTGTTCCATCTCTTTTCTCTCCTCCTCTCCTGATGATTTCCGCGTCCGGAAGGTGTACCACTTTGTTGTTGTTGGTTCAAAGGGTACGAAACTGACTTGGTTAACTCGGGACGTTTGGTGCCCGTGTCTGGATCGTAGGATGAATGTGACAATCCTGGAGCGTAGAGATTATCTTGCTAGCGCAGACGGAGGAAAAACCGAGTAAGTGCTAGTAGGAGATAGAAAAAGGCTCTCGGCTAGCTACCGGATCTGAGGGGGGAAGGTGGATAGGCAGGGAGGATCGTGGAGATCTCTTCTCTTAAACCTTCCCAGTGAGGCAGATCATGTGCAGGTGGTCCGAGCGCTGGGTTCCCTCTTAGGCTCGAGCGCTCTGTACCAGCCTGACTAGTGGCTAGCCGGCCGGTCTCCATGGACGTCAGTGACAGGGCTACGCCTTTGTCACTCCTCATGATTCCAGGCTGTGCAAATGATGCAGCCTGAAAATCCTTATCAACCTTGCTGTGAGGACTTACAACAAAAGATTTTGGGGGGACCCAAAATGTTGCAATTGGCAGGGAATATATCTTGCTGACCACTTCTGTGATATAGAAAGTGGATATGATGTGGCCTGCCAAACACCATCATGAGGCCCCATCTTCAGCTGTGCACCCCCAAAATATTTGCCATGATCATTTATGACAATCATGGGTGGCCAAAGGAGGCCTTAGTTATATGTAGATTCTAGAAGATGAAATGACTAAAAAGTTCAAATAGAGAGAACTGGCATTTTTGACCCAATGCCTGTGATGGTGTATATCTTACACACTCCAAGGGGCCTCTATCATCCTTACCCTCCCACAGGTGAGCTGTGTGCATCAAGCTGAAAGCAAGCATAAACTGAGATGAAACCCATCAGAGTTTGTGTTTCATGTTCCAGTGTTCTTCAATCTTCCAAACATTTTTATATTGCACTTTGCACTATTATCACCTAAACAAACCCATGATCTTACATCACTTATATTGTTTTGGATATTGCCACAGACAAGCTAAAATGTATGTAGCCCAAAAGAGCAGAATTAGGCCTTTCATCTGAGTCATTGGAAGAGGGCTCATCTCAATATTATGGGGTATCAAATATAAGAAATCCGCCATCAGAACCAGTCAATTAGGGGGTATCAAATATAACAAAATCCACACTTTTTAATTGACTTGTTTTTGAGAAATCCACACTTACCAAATCCACCTTTGTAGTGACCAAATAACCTACTCCTTTTGTCAGGGGTGTATCAGTTGGACAAGCATATAAGATTAAGCATTACTAGCCCATAGTGATGGTTTTAAGTCAGGCTTCTTCATGGGTTTATACTAATTTTATACCCTCAAAATCTATTTTTGATGTTAATTTGCTATTCTAGTGTATCATGTTTTCAAAATTTTGGTGGCTGTACACAAGGAAAAATAAATGCTCACTAGATGACAAGTGGCTTCATGTAACATTGGTCCCCGCTCCTCTGTAGCACCAACTCTGCTGCAACCCAAATAAATTGGACCCCTTGTGTGGTACACCAACTCTGCTGCAACCCAAATAAATTGGACCCCTTGTGTGGTACACGGGGCTCAGGCAGAGTTGAGCTGGGTATGTAATGGGTAGCATGCTGAACTTAGGCTGACGTCACTTGTCATCAAGTGATCATTGCTTTTTCCTGGTGGCAGTGCTAAAAACAGATCAAAAGTCTGAACATTTCAAAAAAATAAGTCTTGAATTTTTTGGCTCCAAAATTTGGACACCCTCCAAATGCAGGGTTGGTTTTTTGCTGCCCACAACTGAAACACTCTGTATTACTGTGCCAAAATCAGCACATCTAAATTCCATTTAAAATCAATATGATCTATTCAAATCTAGATGCTTTTATTAAAAATGCCAACATTTTTGAGAACAAAAAAGAATACACCAAAACATGAATAAGGGGAAATTCTGATGATGATCCAATGAGAATTCTACGTGCTCGCTCGGCCATACTTGGTCGGGAATGTCGCCTTTGAATAGCTGTTTGCCAAGTGAGCCAGTCATCCCCATGAGCCTCCTTGGCTAGTTTCAGAGCTAAAGCTTCATCATCTTTGAAGTTCATGCCCCTCTCATCTTGATCGTTTCCACCATTAACTGCGGAATCAAGTGCTCTAGCCAAGGCTTCATCGTTTTTGGTCAAATCTTCTTCTTCCACTTCTTCAATCTCATTTTCACTGTGGACTGAAGCCTGATGGTAGTACTCAGGAAGAGAACTGTGGCTAGCTCGAGAGTTCGCTGCTTGATTACCACGAAACAACGTCGCCTTTTTTTTGCGGTGCGAAAGAAGTAGTTAAATACGTAGTCATTTAGGCCGACAATTCCCAACAATATCCGATAAGTCTAACCCAACATGACCACTCACTTGAGGTTGAACATCATCTATGAGTCCTTCATCTTCCAATTGGCTCTCAGTCGGAGTGGCAAAACGAACACGCTTTCTGCCACGTGAAGAGCGGGCATGGTCCTTAGGCGACGGCAGGGTTTCCTTTCCCGGTTTAAAACAACGGTTAACGTCAGATATCTAATTTGCCCCCTCGTGAACTGGTTTACAAGCCATAGGATTACTCACTTCAGGTTTGACGGAAGCTATGCCCGACCACACAGGGTTTGGTTCATGCGTAAAACATCGCTTGGGCTCTGCGCTGGTACTAGCTACCGCTGCTAATTCGTCCACTTCATTCACTGAGTTGGCGAGTTCGGATTCCCTGGAAGAAGCCGACGACTCCACACACGCTGCGTGCGTGGAAGACTCTTCAGGCACTGCGATTGTTTTAGATGCCCTGGCTAATTCATTGATATTATCGATACTACGTTCGGTCGCAGAAGAGTGGTGTACCACTTGCAACAACTATTGTTAGGATGAAATTGGTATAATCAGCTTCGTTTATTTCCTTATGGAATCATGCAAATCCCAAGAAAAAAAAAGTCTCATTGCCAACCAAAAGAATAAAGCAAGGGAAAAAACTGGATATCATTTCTCAGTGAAAGGATGATTGAGTTGGTCTGTTGGGTTTTCAAGTAGTGTTGGAAAGCGATACGCTTAATATAACTTTTTATTCTTATCACCAAGAAAAACTTATGCTACTTCAAAAAAGTCTGCTGGCCTATTTCATGAAAGGTTGTAAAATACTCATCCACATTACCTAACGTGGCGTTTCATCCAGGCAATCATAAATTGTTGCTGTTCTGTAAAAAAAAAACGCAGCAGCAGCAGCAGTTCCTGACCCGGGAATGTTTGCGATTTGGATTGCTGATATCTGTTTGGTTTACGTCTACGCGCAGCCAGTCTGGATGGAACTCGCAAAGAAGCCATAAATTATAATGTCCCGATCGCTCAAACCAAACTCTACATACACGCTTACTGGATTGCAGGTGACCGATGAAAAGCGTACAAGCCTTGTAGGGTTGCCGTACCGGATGACTTCAATAGTCATGCGCGCGAACGAATTGACCGATTTTGGTCTGATCGACTTGCATGAAACGAACGTTTCGTTTTAATTGCCACCTCAGCGCATTAACGTCCGGCCGCGCAGATTGGGGTTCCGGGCAGACAAGCAAAAGGGGACTACGCAGTTAATGGCAGCTATGTACAAAGGAGGTGCGGGCTTCGGAACGGATTAAGTCTCAACACGTATTTAGCGCCGACCGCAGGCAGGGAGTCAGTCGGGCCTATAAAGTGCCTCCTAACCTCAGGCTCGGGGTGGGTTACGAAGGCCTTGTGCAGGGAAAGATGCACTTGCATCCTATCTTTCCTCTCCTTGACTCAGTCCTGTCAAAGTTGTCTTGACCTTATTTTGCTGAATGATATGGAGTGATGGAGAATTGTTATCCAAGAATCATTAGAGCATGAAGGCAAAGAGATGAGAGAGAGAGAAAAAAAACAAAGGTTATATGGTTATGTTTCTCAGTGAACTCACAGGGCGTTATCAGACCCCAATCTATAATAAACCTCACAAGACCCTACACAACAGCCAGAAAAAAACACTCCACACCGGGCTTATCCTGTACCCATTTCCTGTCCCCATTGACCCACGAAGCACTTCGTGTCTAGATCTTGTGATCTGTAAATGTTGCGGTGAGCAATGTAAATATGTATTTACGTACACACACTAGACCAAGGTGAAGGGAGACCTCCTCCAAATTTAATCTTGATTTTTGGTCTTGATATGCCTTATAGCCCACCATATATACCTTGCACAAGTGTTCTTTTTTTTTTCTTCCTATGAATCATAAACTACCCCAAAAGGAATTACCAAATCCAATCCATAATAACTCCAAAAATCTATCAAAACATTTAAACAACCAGAGCCCACTGAAGAGTTCTTCCTCAAACTGACAGTGCATATCTATCGACAAATGATCACCAGGGTCGTTGCGATTATCAAAATGGCAAAAGAGGGACCTGTCACCCGGGTTTGAACCGGGGTTACCAGGAGATCTGATGTCTTTGACCACCGGGGGGTGATGCCAGAGGGATCAGAACCTGGTGTCCTAACCACTAGACGATGACAGGATGAATGTTGGTTGGGGTTTTGGTGTTTGAGTTCAGACATTGAGCGAATATCATGTAGGAGCACAATACATCATGAGCAGAAGACAATGCGGCCCCGATGTAATCAACACACACACCCGGCCTCCCGTTGCCACAGTCCACTTGCAAAGAAAGCCAACCTCGGCCAGTCCCCGATGCCACCGTGACCCTAGCTTATCAACTCCCCTCGACAGAGGGCCGGAGCCAACTGGCGACGCGATCAGCCTCTGAAAGAGGCCTCCTTCCTTCGGAGGCTCGCTTCGCGCCACAGCCTGGCTCACGTACCAGGCCCTCCGATCGAGGCACTTCTTGGGTTAAGTTATTTATGTAGATCCCACCGAGCTGTCAGACTCATCACAAACCCTTCATATTTCAGCCCAACAAAGCACGACCTATGTACATACACAGCAACAAAATAGCCGTCTAATGTGATCCTCCATTATCTCAATCATCACCCAACTTTCCAAAAAAAACAATCTACCGAACCATCTAGCCGGAAACGTTCAATTAGCAGAAATGAAGGAGATCATCAATGACTCCTTCATGGTGTGCGGAACCAAAAGGGGGATCCCACCCAATGATGGTGGGTATGGGGTCTCATGACTCTGGCCGGGCTCGAACCGACGACAACATGCGATCAAGAGCGTTTGATGGCAACCTGTTAAGCATGTGCTCTACCAACTGAGCTACAGTGCCAAGGAGAAACGGGGATATCGGGGTCCGCCGCGCCGGAGTAGTCATTCCAAAGGTGGCGGTCTGATGGTGAGAGATTCACGGCAAGTCCAATGCAGCCCGTTTATAAACACGCCTTGCTTTTCCCCCTGTGTTCGATGATGTGTGTATATGAAGTGTTGGAATAAGGACATAATGATACGCTCGAACGGGAAGAAGAGATGTGCTTTTGATGTGACGTAAAATGACAAGGGAAATGAGAACCAGAGAGGGATAATATGTATCACGAGAAGAAGAAGGAGAAGAAGAAAACAACAAGGTTGGTGCCGATTACATATGTATATAAATGGATATATAACTTGATGGAAGATAAGAACAGGTTGATTGGCTTCCCGGGGTTTTTTGGTGTGTTGGATCCAGTTTATTGGTTTTATAGACTTCCGATGGTTCGGTTCGCTTGGCTTGTATAGTCAATCAAGGAATGCAGCCTCGACCGTTGAAAAACTCTTGGGAAAAAAAACAAACAAACAAACAAGTATGGGTATATGCAGAGAGAGAGAGAGAGATCTCAAAGATAAGCAGGCCGAGCTCTGTCCGAACCAACCGCCCAAGCAAGAGGAAAGAAAGGCCGAGAGGGAGACTAAACGGCTCGGAGCTTGAACTTGATCCAACAATTCAACGGCTACAGATCAAAGTGTGTTTTTTTTTTGATTGGACCGTCCAACAAGAAAAAACCCAATGATGAGTATCATGAGGATTGCAGGACACGGATGACAGAGCAGAGGAAGATGATTAAGTTTTCTGTTGAAGCGAGAAACCGACCTTTCTTAAGAATCCTTCTCGAGTCTCTAATTCGGCGAGATCAGGATCGACCAATGCGAACTCGTACCGTTTGAAGATCGTCGACGTAATCATCTGTATCCTCATCACACGGCACACCATCAATCAACTCAATCCGGCTCTTTGATCACTCACACTTGAATTAGATTTTCGACTTACGTATAACTCCATCATCGCTAGATTGCGGCCGATGCAAGACCGAGGCCCACAGCTTCACCCGAGGGGTTTTTTTTTTTTTTTTGTTTTTGTAAAGAAGAAAAAAAAAGACATTGACAAGTAAGCTGAATGATGAAGATGAGAAAGAGACCAGATGAGAATAAATGATAGATCAAATACCTGAAGGGCATGAAGGCTTTCTCGCGATCTTTGGCATTAGGTTCCAACCACCTCTCAGGCCGAAAAGTGAACCTTTGAAAATCGACGACGACAAAGAAAAGGTGAGTGACGAACCGGCAAAGGGAGAAAGGAGAAAGGAATCATCAAACCACTTACGGATCACCCCAGACGTCCGGATCATGATGAATTTCGAACGTAGGGACGGAGCAGACCAATCCTTTGGGCAAGATGTGGCCCTTAAAGGAGACCGTTTGGGGGAGGATCCTGGGCAGGCCGATGGAGGAGGTGGAATGGATCCGCAAGGTCTCATTGATACAGGCATTGAGATACTTGAGCTCCTTGCAATCCGCATACGAGATCACGCCTTCCTCGGTCCCCAGATGTTCGTCCAGTTCCTCCATCAGTCTCTTGTGCACCTCCGGGTGCTTGACTACCCACCACAGAATCGCACAGCTCGAATTCGACCTGTTTTTCATATTCCATCAGAGTGTGCGACATTCTCAGTGCCTCCGTCAGGCCGTCGGCCACTCATCAATTCGAGTCGACTAATTATCCTTTGACGTACGTGGTGTCACTTCCGGCGATCAACTGGGTCAAAGCCTCAGCCTGAAGATATACAAGCAACAAAAATGAGTAAGATTGAGCGGTTCCCAAGACGAAAATAGAGGCTGAGCCCCCCGAAAAAACGCAACTATCAATTCATCTTTGCCCATCGGATTTCCATCCGCATCTTGACCGGTCTGCAACCGGGCCAACAAATCTCTCCTCGATTGGCCGGTTTGCGAGATCCTCAAGTTGACTTGATTAGTAGCAATCTATAAAAAGAAGAGAGTATATATTATGAGGAGACGATTTTTGAGAAATGAGTGACGATAAGTAGAGAGAGAGAGAAGGAAAAACGAGAAGATATACCCCAGTCAAGTTCTGCACACTCGCCGCCCCGCGCGAGAACCATGGATCGATGTACTTCATGTAAGGTCTCAGACCGGCCGGCAGACTTCCCTGGGTCGCACTGAACTCCCCTCGCTCATTCAGGATCTGGATCGCCGGCAGATAGATCACCTTGCCCTCCTTCTCTACTGCCGCTATGTCTGCTCCTCGTTCGATCATCCCAAACCTTTCTCCAAACGCTAGATCACCTACATTTTCATTGGAAGGGGGGTTTTTTTGTTTGTCCAATCATCCGATTTGTAAACTTTTAATAAGAACTTTTTTTTTCTCTTTTTTTTTTTTTGAGAATTTGATATGATCAAACTGACCGATGATATCGAACGCCAGATAATTAAACCAGGGCAGAATATCGATGATTCTCCAGCGCTCATTCAGATGTTTAGAATCCCAGGAATGCGACGGGAGTTGGACGAGATTAGGTTCGGAAGCGACCTGGTCGATCTTCCTGAGGAAGCAGGCCAAGGTGTCGGCGATGTAGGGCTCGAATTCGAGGATGCTCTTCTGACTGAAGGTGCTCGAGATGATCTTGCGTTTGCGGGTGTGGTCGGCTCTGTCTCTTGTGTTCTTTATTTTTACTCATTCAAATGCGTCACAGAACAAGGTGTTGATCATTTCAGCATCCATTCGCTCGATCTCCCTCCAGAATCTCAGATCGATCTTCAATAAAACTCATGAAAGGGGAAGTAAAATTGGATCAAGCGAAATAATTATTTACAAATAATCCTCTGTGGATAGCCACGAAAGCATCATCTAAAGGACCCAGACGGGTTCAAAAAATTCAGTCAATTTTATCCATCATGTCTTTTTATTGGATACAAAAAAAGGGCGAAAAGTAAGCATACAGAATTTGCTTTTAGTGGTTCCAGTTCCATGGCCCAAGACGATATGGACTGCGTCAGGATCAGCGATACTCAATTCATTAGGGGCGATTCTCACGAACCGACCTACCCCCCGCCCAAAAAAAAGAAAAATAAGTGTATCAGATCAAGGTTATTCGAAAAGAAGAGCAGAGAAGACGGACCGTGTTTTTGATGGAGCTGGTGAATGATCTGATAGCGATTGCCGAAGCGGGTAGCATAGCCGAGCCAAAGCCTCGAAAACTTGGCCAGGAAGGGCCCCGGATAGCGGTTGAGTTGGTGCTTGTTTCGCAGATACCCTGTGAGGTAGTAACACGATATCCCGACCAAGCCCAGCAAGATCGAGTATTCCAGAAAGGCTGCAATGACTATGTACATCCAAGTATTCGGGATCCGGCGGAGACAGATCACGATCATTAATGTCTTGCTTATCTTTGGCCAGGATTTCGATTCCAACAGAAGAAGGAGGAACAGATGCTTACGACCGATGACCAACATCGTTATCTTGGAGATTGTAGATTGACGTTCGGGGGAAAGAAGCTGCTGGCGAATGAAGCTCTTGATCTGAGAACAATTGTGATCGGTCTCTGCCACCACGTCGACCATCCTCCTCCTCCTCTTTTGATATAAGCCCCGGTCTGAAGCTGATCGGTGAGTGTGTGACCGATGGCTTTCATTGGTGGAGGGAGACACGCCGAGGACAGCACCAGACTGGGTCTGGTTTCGATGTGTCACATGGAAATCGTACTCGTCCTGTGACGGCAAACGTTAAATCTCGCAGTCAATTATATGTATGTTGTAGGACTGAGAGGGTGAGACTGTACACAGTGTACAATCGTCAATAGGCTTCCTCGGGGTTGTATTGATCAAGTGCAAGCATAGCGAAACCTAGCGAAACAGATTGGTGATCTTGAGTATAAAATCCTTTTTTTTTTCGATACGAGCTGCATAGGAAGGTGACTGACCCTTTTTGGTTGTATTCCAGTTTAGCAAAGTGGCGGCAGATTCATGGTTTGGGCGTTCGATAAGGATAATCCTTAACTCTGCAATAAGAATCCAATCGATCGTGGAGAAGGCCATCATGAGTCTTACATAGCCCTTATCTATCATATGTAGTGCTCTTCCTTGACATTCCCGGCCTCTGGATGCCCAGATTTCCTTCTCACCATATCCACCATCATCCCACTCTGCTACGTAACAGTACATAGGAAATCAATCAATCCCCCTAAGAAGAAAATAACATGAAAAAACTTCATCCGATCCAGGCCAATTGAAGCCGGGTCATGTGCTGGAAGTGGACTCCCAATTTATAGGAGAAAACTTGCTAACAAACATTTATTTCTTAATGTTATTTTTTGTTGTTGTGGTTGTTTCTTCGGTCACCCAATTAAAGCTCAACACAAAATCCCATGATCATGTATCTTCAATCGTTGATTTGCCAGAAAGATGAGAAAGAAGTAGTGACGATGATGGTGCTAACAAACAAACATGAAACTCGACAGTACCAGAAGATGCGAACCCAACAATCTACAAACCAAAGACAAACAAGGTCGAAGTATGTGAACAGTAGTTGATGATAATAGATAAAGAAAAAAATGAAAATCGCAATCTATATTGGGGTGCTTCTAAATACACAGCTACTAGCTTCTTTTAAATCGGATTGAAAAGCGAATCAGGGAGACATGAACAATGGTAAAAAAAATTAATCAGAGAAAATAATATGATCTTACAACTGCAGAGAAGACGAAAAACATAATTGAAACCATGCAAACGACATAGAAGATTCTCTTCTTCCTCTTGTTCTTAGAAGCCAAAGAATACGTGATAAATAAAAAATTCTTTTGTTGAGTGATTGCTTGCTTGCTTGATTGATTGACTGGTTGTTGAGATTGTCATGAATTGGACCTGACTTGATCGAAATTTGCGTGTCCTTCAAGTAAGAGCTGACCATACCAAAAAAGAGTGTTTTTTGGAAAGGGGGGGGGTGAGGGTAAGATAAGGTAAGGTTATAAGTTATAGACAATGGGCATTTACATGGGAAAGAGAGAAGAAAGTGCAAACGAAAAGCTTACAATATGCAGGTCCGCCGCCGCCTTCGGGCACGGTCCAAGTAATGTCTTGAGTAGGGACTTTGATTGAACAAGTCTTACACTACCAAGCACAAGATCGAAAAAAAAGAAAAGGAAAAGTCAGAAAAAGATTGGGAGGCATGAGAAGAGAAGAGAATGGTAGAAAAAAGGGGTACTGAACATGGATACAATTCTGGGAATTGATGACCAATTTTTTCTGGCCAGAGGAGGAGGAGGAAGGGGGATCGGAATCAGACGACGGGATGGGCTCTTGTTCGACGTCGATGTATTCGTAGACCCCAGCCGGACAGGCCTTATTCAAGAGCCCGTCGAACTCGGAGACGTTGATCTGGAGATGGTCGGCCAGCTTCTCGGGCTTGATGACCAGATGGTTCGGCTGGTTTTCCGCATGGTTCGTCCCCGTTCGAGAGACCGAGGTGAGGATGTCAAACGACAGTTTGTGGTCGGGTGGCGGATAGTCAATCGGCTTGTATTCCCTGTTTTATGTAAAACCCCACATCCCCCCGATCAGCTTAGGTTCCATCTTTCTTTTCAGGCAAAAGTGGTTGAGCAATTTATAAGAGGATGGATTTACTTGATGGATTTAGTATGAGCATGGTCCTCTTTTTTGTGGTGGAATGTCCAGGGTACTCGGCCCTTCAAGAGGAGACTATCGATTCCGGAATAGATGATCCCACCGTACAAGCCCAAGGGGTTATGGAACGAGGGTCTCAAGTTGCGGACCTCCTTCAACTCCTTCATGACCCAAGAGTGGTCGAGTTTCTGCTGGTAATCGACCAGCTCGACTGGGGATCGGTTCTCCTCGCCGGACTCGGATGGCTTGGTCACCAGCGCCTCGAAGGCCACTTCCGCCGCAATCATCCCAGACTTCATCGCCGTGTGGGTCCCCTTGATCTTCGGCACGTTCAAGAATCCTGCTGAACATCCTATCAAGGCGCCCCCTGGGAACGTCAATTTCGGGATCGATTGGTATCCCCCTTCGTTCAACGCTCGTGCACCATAGGCTAGACATTCCCCACCCTCTAAGACTTTGGAAAAGATGGGGTGATGTTTTAATCTCTAAAAAAAGTACATCACAGAACCATGAAGTGGGTGGTGAGTTTTTGGGATAAATAAAAACTTCTAGATTTTCAATGCCACACTCACTTGAAATTCCTGGTAAGGAGACAGGTATGGGTTTGGATAATCCAGACCAACGACCAGACCCAGAGAGACCATGTTATCCTCGAGATGGTACATCCAACTGCCCCCATAAGTGTCCCGCTGAAGTGGCCAGCCAAGAGTATGGAGGACCTTACCCGGCTCGTAGACATCGTCCTTAACTCTCCAGACTTCCTTGATCCCGAGACCGTAGGTTTGAGGGTCTTTGCCGTCTCTCAACTTGAAGCGTTCGATAGCCATCTTGGATAACGAACCATGGCATCCCTCGGCCAACAAGACCGTCTTGGCATGAAACTCCATTCCGGGTTCGAAGGATTCTTTGGGTTTCCCGGAGCGATCGAGGCCGATATCGTTGGTGATGACCCCTCGGACGGCCTTGCCATCGTCCGAGTAGAGCAGTTTAGCGCCGGCGAAGCCCGAGTAGATCTCGACGCCGAGGGCCTCGGCTTGTTCGGCCAGCCAGCGACAGACCTTGCTGAGGGAGACGATGTAGTTGCCCTTGTTGTTCATCTGCGGGGGATGGGGCAAGGGGAAGGCCGAGCGGGCGGTCAAGAACTTCATCGAATCCGAGCTGGCCTTCATCACTATCGGTGCACTCCCGTCCTCTCTCCACTCCGGCAACAGTTCGTCCAACGCCCGGCTCTCGATCACCGCCCCTGAGAGGATGTGCGAGCCCACCTCCGCCCCCTTCTCGATCACGATCACCCGGAACTCCTCCGCCTTGCCCGCCTCGATCGCTAACTGTCGGAGCTTGATCGCTGCCGACAAGCCTGATGGACCGCCTCCTACGATACACACGTCCACCTCATCCGACACCCGTTCGAGATTGTCCATGTCCATCTTCTTCTCCTCCTCCTCCTGAGGCTCGGTCACTTGTGAATAAGTGCGCCATCGTCCGGCCATTGGTTGGTAGCTTCGACTTCCTACGACCTTCGCTCTTGATGTTAATGTTCGGGCTCCATATCCGCCGAGCTGTGCGATCGATGGTGGTCTGGATGAGGTGCGTTTGAGTAGTTCGGATGCATGCTTCGATGTTCTGATGATCGTTCGGTTCATGTTTGCTACTCTTTACTATTTGTGTATGTAGTGGGAAGTTGTGTTGAAGTCGAGTCCGGGTTTTCCTAGCGGAGTTCTGTCCTGACCAACCAAATTCGAGCAGTAAACTTGCCACTTTCTTGGCTCAATAAACATCCTTCCCTCTCAGTCATAATCATTCTAACCAGAAATCAAGAAACACATTTACATCCCACGAAGCAGAAAAACTCGGATATCCGCAGGCAGCCAAGCAGCTGTCTCTAGAAACATTGCCCACTTTTCTTGTGGAAATTATAACCTCAGGTTTATGAGACACTTGGCCTGAACAGTACCCCAATCAAACAGACCACTAGCTTACAAGTCATCATAACATCAGCAATTTCAATTCATGGTGTCCAAGTGTCATTTATTTATGGCTTCTTTTATAAAAACTGTCGGAGAAATATAACAAAAAACATCAACATGAGCAAAATATGTAGAAACAAAGTCCAGGGAAATCTGATTCCACTGACAGTAATTTAACACTGCAAGTATTTGTGTAAGACCATGGAAATTTGTGGCAACTTGAAGACTAGAACATTCAAGGCCTTAAGATGAGTCTAAATCTATAAAATGTGAATCTAGACGAGGTCTTGTGATGTCCTCACTGGGAAAAATGACAAGCATAATACTTTATTAAAATTGCTTTTCCCTTTCTGATTCACTGTTTCCTGGTGCCCCAGATCAAGTCTTGTGCAGAAGTGATTGTGATGAACATCGCATCATGCTCACTCCTCGTCCTCATGACGAGTTCAAGCGCTCTGCCTGGGAAATGCTTGAGGCCAGTTGTGCAGCTTTCTGGAATTAGGAGGACTGTTTAGCTTCCGGGAACCAAGTCTCCTGAATTAAGCCTATCTGATTGGGCCGTAGGCATCGAAGACTCGACAGGTTATTCATCGATATTTTTTTTATCGATTGGCCATTAATGAGGAGTCATCTCTCACCCAGTGACCATGCCTGAATCTGGTACAAGAAAAAAATTAGTCTTGGCGGTGATCTCCTCTCCATAGACGTTAGCCTTCGGTATGCTCCTTGCCATGAGGTCAGACTCGACCTTAGGGGCTTTAAATTCGTCTTGACTCGTTTGGTGTCGATAATTAAAGATCCACCCAAACTTTCTCCGAGTGGCCGCAGAGCCCAGATGGTGCACCATCAGACCGGGTTCACCCCACCATGAGACATTCAAGTCAACCACCTCTTTCTCCTGAGTCGGGCACAGAAGAAACTCAATCAATCTGGAACTAATACATATATTCTTATCGATGGGTCGTTCACGTAACATGCTAATAGTTGACAAAGCGAATATGGCAAGTTTGGTTCCTTAAACCCTTGCCATGGCGTTCGTGAAAAATGTCAATGTGCAGAGTCCTGTTTGTTTTATTTGAACCCCGACGGGCAATGCCATCAAGGCTGCTTTCGTTGACTGGAGCCATTACAAAGAGGTCTCCGGGCACGTGCGGGTGGGCATCTTCAGGAAAGATCTCCCGATTGCTCTGCATGACATTAATGTCAATGTTAAAAAGAGGGTTGGGGGTTATTATTAAGCATACAAAGCATTTTACCTCATGACAACGTCGATTTACAGAAAAGCTTGATTGTCATCTTGATAGGTAAACCAGTACAACCCCTAGTCCTAACCTTCTTAATTCCTCTCCCTTGCACATGCCAAAGAATTGTTGTCTTATTGTCAGAGCTGCTTGACGCCGATCAACTGGAGACGAGGTGAAAGCTTTTTTTTTGACGATTGATTAGGTTGCCCGACGGCTTAGACCAGGCCAACATTCCAATCGTTAGTTCATGTTTAAAGCTATTGAAGAAAGAGTGCACTTTTTCGCGGGCACTGGCTGTCATGCCCACCCCTCATAGCTCAACTAGGGACTCAATCGGTCCCTTGAAGTCTCCTTAATCCAAGCTCAATTAACCCATATCCATATTTCTTGTGCTCATTCCTTCGTCTTCCGTGTCTGGTCTACACTTCTGCCACCTCCCTCCTCCATTCCCTTAAATAGCTTGGGTCTGAAGGCATTCAACCGTCGTTCTGCTTCCTCCCCTCCCCCGACACTTCTAAACATCACCAACAGTTACCAAGCCAATTTACCCAGGTGAATTGTAAGATTAATTTGGTATCTAGTGTCAAGCTAAACAGTTTTCAGGTCAACCAATCGATTACTTCCTCCGGCAGAAACATCCAATCATGTTCGGTACTCCTACTTCCAAGGCCGGGACGTTGTTCGACCTGATCAGATCGTCTCCTTCAACTGCTTCGTCCGCATACCAAGACAGTCAGGAGAGTGCTACTAGACACGCTCGGAGTGGTGCGCCCAGCTTGCTATCGAAGTCCCCCCCATCCATCGCCTCCTTCAACTCCGGAAGCCGCTATCAACCCTCCTCGTGCTCGACTTACTCCGCTTCAGCCTTGCCTGCCTCCGGCCCCGCCCGCAATATCTTCAAAAAGCAGTACATCCACCAAGCCATCCGCCTGGTCGATGACGCACTCATGGAACAAGACAAAGGCTCCTGCTGTGATGAGGCTTTTGCGCGTCAGTTTGCGTTCTCTTCTTTCCTCATGCAGATATTGAGCGGCTGTTGTAAGCAATACTGACTTCTCTTGGAATTTACTTGAAACCTACCTATGACAGTCGATTGCTACTTGGCCTCTCTTGAATATCTTCTATCGGCTTTTCCTATGGAAACTAATTTTGACCGACAAATTGGATCAGGTTTGTTGAAATAAAATGCCTTATAAAAGTCGAAGACAAGAATGCTCTGAAACTGAACAGATACCGTACGCCATAACAGTTGACCGTCAGGCGATTGTCCACGCCAAACTTGTCAACCTGATCCGCCGAACTGAAGAGTTTTCGGGGCCGAACCCACACGAACAAGCTGAGCCAAACCCCAGCTCACCAGGGCCACAGGGCGGGTGGTGGAATGGCGTATGGCGACGAGCAGGATCGGGTAAAGCCAGACTGGAAAGCAGTCCCGCCTACGTCTCGGCTCCCTCCGAACTCGCCGCTCAATGCAGTTGCGGAAGGAGGGTTTTGGTCAAAATCCCGGATTGGTTACTGTCTAGTAGCACCCCAACTCAGGAGCAGTCCAATCAACCAGAAAACCAGACTACGCGTCGCGGGTTCATTGCTACATTGTGGGCATGGCTTCTCGCCGGTATCTTGTGGGCGATAGGGATAATCAATGGAATCGTGATACCTTACATCGTGACTACTACGATCAAAATATCGGTGGCTGTGGTCGTTTATCTCGAAAAGAAGTTTCAAATCGTCAATCTGCTTTTGAAGCTCGTCATCAACACCATCAAAGTGCTCGTCAAAATCAGTCAAGATTGTCAGTTCAATCAACAAGTCGGAGATTTTGTTTCGTGGATCATCTCTCATCTGCTCAGGATTGCTCTAGCATTTGTCAAGCAAGGCGATCTCCAAAACTTGAACCAACTCTTCGATATCCATCCGGGTACTCACACCGACCGCCCTCACCCTGATCATCCCAAACCTACCGTGGACAACAATCGATTGGATAACCTGTTGAAATCCCACTCTCAGCCCAGTCAATTGTTTGCTGACCGCGGTAGCGGCTCTTCGTCTTCAAGATTCTCGCGAACATCCGACTCGACATATCAAGTCAATCGTCCAGAACGTCTTGTTTCCACTTGGACCTCTGGAAATCCTTCAAGTCCATTTTCTACTAAACCCAACAGTTATCCGCTCTGAACTCATCCATAGGACACCATTTATCCATCTCTCCCGCTGAGCAATCTCTTAGTATTTGTGCCGTATCTCTTGGGTGTATTTAATGATTCAGAAGACATTATTGGCTGTGTTTTATCTTTCATTCTTCCATGATTGGTTGACCAAACTTGTATGATTATATGAAGGAACAAAATGGCTGTTTAGTAATGAGTTTAAAATTGACATTTGATCAGAAAATATTGCCTTTATAAAGCAAAACAATCGGCATGGTTATGCTAACTTGCGTGTTGATCATTCCATTGAAAGTCTCATGGGAAACTTCTCCCTTTTTAAATCAAACCGTTCACTTTCTCAAACGTTGGACCTAGTTCAAGGCATCATCCTGGTACAATTTCTATACTAAGACGCATTTCGGCCATCATGAATTTCAAGCACACAGCTGATGCCTCAAATGGGATCATCATTCTCGTGAAAGAAGCAACAAAAAAACAGTATGAATTTTTGTTCCATTGCCTCCTCTGCACACAGAAACTGACAGAAAGACAGATACAACTGAAGAAAAGCTTCAATCCAATGAGAGAGAAAAAAAAAAAAAAGAAAAAACTACAATGACTTCATCAATTTAAAACAAGCAGAATACTTGGCCTCCCAGTTCAAAGCCTCAGAGCCAGCCCCTTTTTTCGATTTTTTCAAGAGCGTAGGCGCAGGAAAGAGGCGCGGATTTTTGAGCTCCAAGACCGCAAAATGAGCACGAGTAGAATCCAAGCCGATGAAGATTGGAGTTTTATAATTTGGGGGAGAGAATTGAGGGAAGAAGGTTTGGGACCAGAAGGATGAGAAGAAGAAGACTGGAGTCTTGAATGTGTTGGCAATCACCTCTCCCATCATAGGCATAGACATCGACTTGTTGTTATTGCACGGATCTCTCGAACTTACTTTGATTCTTTCCAACACGTCATCTATGTTTTTGAAGGTCCCTTTCTTGTGGTAGAATCCTCTTCTTTTTTCGATCTCTTGGATGAGCTCTTGTCTGATTTCGAGCCAAGATTCTTCACCTCGTCCTACACATAATCCAATCGCTCTAAAGCCACCATGCCCGTCTGTCTTGACATCAAAGACCTTCTCAATGTATGGTTGGATAAATTTCGGAAGCTCGTCTTTCCAATCAATGTTTTTTGGAAGGGTGTTTGGAACCATCTTGATTTCCGTTGATAGCTGAATTCTGCTTGTGGCCGGAGCTTCTGGCGGATTTTTTTCTTCTTGATTCTTGGGCACTTCCGATTCCTGAATCAGATTTTCCAGTTTTCTTTCGGATTGTTTCTCCGGATCCACTGGCTGCTGTTCCGTTTGCAGTCTTTGTTTCTTGGCCATCATCTTTTCACGCTCCTGCTGTTCCCTCAACCGTTTTTTGAGAAAGCTCTTGAGTTGGGAATATTCCCAGGTTTCAGCTTGTGCAGTGTTGGGTTCAAAGTTGAGTCGTCCGCCAAGGAATTCGGTCTTCTGAAGGGCACCCTTCATATTCACCACCGTTGAAGATCCTTGCAAAAGGCTGGTGAATTCACCCAGGTTGGACTCTCTCTGTGCAGAGCTACTAGATTCGAATTGAGTTTGATTGGTTTCAACATTCTTCTTGGCCAATCGGTCTGAACCACAGCCCATTCCTTTGATGTCCTATATAAAATCAGCCATCAAAGAAATTTTTAAGAATCAGTAAGCAGCAATCAATGTCATGATTGAATTTGAATGAAATATTTGGAATGATTAGAAATTTTTAAAAAGTTGCGGGTTCGCATAAAAAAGAATGGAGGAGATATATGTGATGCCTTCAAGATATTCAAATCTGTGGTCTCATGTAAGTAGGGAAAACCACCTGAAATGCATTTAAGGATTTTAATCAAACCACTTTTAACAGTATAAATCCCCACCAATTTCATGGTTTTGTGTGGATTTGAATGTCAAAACAAAATAGAAGATTACTTCACACAGAGATGAAGGCAACAAGATCTGAATTCTGCCATGTGGAACTTTGGATTAGTGCAACCTCCCACATCAATCATTTTTTTTTTTTTTTTGGAATGAAATGAACCTTTTAGGAATCCTCATTCTCCAGTAGAGCATGAAGATTTGTGTGAAAAAAAGAAGCAAAATCAAGGAATGAGAAAGTACCTTTATGTGCCACTGAGAATGAAACAGCTTGGGATCCACTTTTTTTCCCTCCAACAAGATCTCAGCGAGCTGATGTCTGCACGGGATACCGTTCCTGAGATGATGGACACCCTGACAAGGAGTATGAACTTGCAAGATCAAGTTGAAGTTTTTGAGAGCCTTCTTGAGCGCGTAATGGGTGATTTTTCCCACACAATCCTCAAATATGTTGGGCAGATTTGGCAGTTTTTCAGCCTGTTGTTGGTCCAATTCCGCATATATTTGATGTGCTTGATCCTGCAAGATCTTGCTGATTGAGTTGACGATAGTCTCAAAACTATCCTTGTAGCTCAGAAGCTGGGCTTTGATATACGGGTGAAAAGTTTCAATCTTGGGGACGCTCCTGTGCTCGAAATGTAAGGTTTGTTTTGTCCAAGCATTCACAAACTTGTGGGCGATTGGAACCCACTCTGTTTCCAGATATCTGATGAATTCCGGGGGATACTGGACCGAAAGCCGATTGAAAGCGGCATAGAATTGGGACGTGTTTTCAAGTTTGATGAGGCCAGCCCAAATCTTGAGCATCTTGGTTTCTTTGTCCCTGTTATTGATGAGTTTTGATGCATTGGAGATGATGTTCTGGTTCATATTTGAGATGCAAATCAAATTTTTAGTGGTCAGGAAAACTTCCTCGATCGCATTCATAAGAGGCACTTCTCTTTCAGTCATGAATACCTGGGGAATCTGAATGTGATGGGTAGTGAAAATCCCAAGAAGACTTTTAAGGGCCCAGGAGTAATGAGTGAAGTTTGATTCAGAAAGAAAGCAGAACGCAACACTAAAGGCTTGATTGTTCCCACTGATACCTGAGATATGGATGAGGGGCATCTTACACTTGTTGGTTTTGTAGGTGCAATCAAAGAAGAGGATCGAGTTGTAGGATGATAGGAGTTGTATGGAGGAAGGATGATAGAAAAAAAGATCAGTGATATCACCATTATCATTCAGTTTGGTTGAAGAGACAAATTCAGAGCTTGAAAGTGCTTTATTGAGATGGAAGATTGGGCTGGTTCCTGGGAGAGTTTGAGGTTGGACTGGTCTTCTGGCTGAATAGACCGCTTCCTGAATCCCAGGAATTATATTATCATGAGAGCAAGATTGCTGATGAAAGGTATGAACGATTTCAGAGGGAATCAATCCTTCATCAGAGAGGCTCTTCACTTCATCCAAGTGAACTTGATCCCCACTTCTATCTTCAAAGGTCTTCAAGGATGGGGGATGGTTATGGGTGGGATTTTTGCAATAGAATGACCAGATTGATTTCTTCTTGATATAGTTAGCCCTTGCCTGGAATGGACATCCAATCAGTCTTGAAGATGTAGATTGGGCTTGCTGAGTATTGATTCCTTTGCTTTCAGGTGGATGGCCTCCCCTGAAAATGGTCACACCAAACATTTCCAAAAGAAAGGCAAAAGGGTTATTTTGAGTTCATTCAAATATTGATCCACTTAGAAAGCAATCAAATCATATCTTACCTGAGTAGTTGAATTCAAGTAAAAAAAAATATCATGAATCCATACAATTAAAACCAAAATAGACAGAAGAGTGAAAAAAATAGAGAGCTTACCTATGACATTTGAATATCTTTTTTTTGTTCTTCTCAGATTTAGTGATAGATATCTTGTAGCCATGGTCCAGTGCGAATCTCTTGATTGACTTGGTCATTTCATTGGGGTCTTTGAATTCTGCATCTGGTGGTGGGGGGATGTTGAAAGAGAGTTGATCAGGATGGTCGCCTTGTTTTCTAGAGAGTTGAGTTGTATCTTCCAAGTAAGCTGCAAGTCGTTCATTAATATCTGGAGCAACTTCCTGTTCTATGATCTCTTGGTCTTCTTCATTCGTGGAAACATCTCCATGAGTTCCTAATGAATCAGAATCTTCATCTTCTTGATCTTCTATATTTTGGCCATCATCTCCTTTGTTTTGAATATTGTCTTCTGCAGTACTTCCTCCAGCCATTCCAATTCTTCTGGACGGATTCGCATCAATTGTTTTGGTTATTTTGTCTGGGTTATGACTTGCTCCCAAGGAATTATCCATTGCAGAGAAGCGGCTGATTTCCATAAGGAGGGGATCGATAATCATTGATTGCGGAGCTTCAATAATGATATGGGAGTTCATTTTCGGCTGGTTTGTTTATTCGGATGCTGGTCAGATATCAGATGGATGTGGCAAATATGTGAGGAGTTGGTTGTGGGGCTTGCCTGCAGGGAGGTCAGTTTTGCAGACTTCATGATAAGTCGACTCATCGACCCCGATGGAACTCAGAGAAATTTGAGGGGAAATTTTCCTCCGGTCAAACCTGCAGACCAAACCATCCCATCTTCCAAGCTGGCAGTCGACGTCGATGCGGGCCTCGCTCAAGTCCACCCTTTGCGAGCAAGTCCTGATCTCTAATCTACGCCGTTGCTATACCCGTCATTAGGCTTTGTAGCAAATTGGAGTCCTCACCAAAGCATTCCGGCTCATATTGTAACACCGTCCACAACGGCACAATTTTTTTTTCCTCATGTCTCAAATACCCAGCTACCCTACATCTGCAACAGATTGAATTAATGGTCATCATCAATCCCAAGTTACGATCCAGATTCGACATGTGCAGCCTTTAGGACCCAATGGGCTGGTCTTTAAAAGGCTGTATGAGGGGCGGATGAACGCTTTGGGGAAAGATGGGGCGGTCGGTGCGCTGGATGGGCGCCGCGCACGCGCAAGGCCCCCTCTCTGCCTGACGAGCATCCTGGCCCATGCACAGCTCTTCTTGGAGCTTCCTCCACAACGAGCACATCAAAACCAACCCAGCCTTGACTCAACAAGAACCTCCAAAGGAAGCAAGACACGGTAAGACAGAATGGGCAAACGGAAAGCGGCTAAGAAAGTACGTCTTTTTTTTTAGGTTGTTCAGAGTGGGTTGTGTTCTATACTCCTGATTGATGATGTCTTGACATTTTGTAATATATATATGTAGCCTAATAAGAAGGCCAAGTTACAGCCCCTCGATAAGATCTTTCGGTGCTTGTTCTGTCAACATGCTGGGGTCGTTCATTGTAAATTGTCAGTCTTTACTACTACTACTTTTAAAATAAACCTTGTCCTTTGGCTTAATCTTATTTTTTTTTTTTATAAAAAAAAAAAAATGATGATGATGATGAAAAAACAAAAAAAAAACCGCGATTGAAATGAGTGCAGGGATCGACAAGAGATGCAATCGCGAATAGAGTGTTCGAAGTGTGGCCAACATTTCGAGACGAAGATCGACCGTAAGTGTCTTGGAGCCCAGCAATCCAGGCCGTCTCCAGGAGAAGAGCAGCTTACCACAAAAGAGAACGTGGGCGTCCACAGATTTAACCGAGCCGATCGATGTCTATTCGTTATGGATCGATGCCGCCGAAGCGGCCAATGACGAGCCACCGACGACGACCCACCAGGTCCCTCTCCTCCCCCTTCTCATCATCATCATCATCATCATCATCATCATCATTCCAGTACCAAAAGGACACAGCTGATTTTTGTTTTTTGTTTTGTTTCTTAGAACGATTCCCGCGAACAGTCTTCTACCGCTACCCCTCGCCCCTCCTCTAAACACTCCTCCTCTTCTGCCCGTCAACAACAACAACAACAACAACGGAGCCACCAACAGCCTGAGGATCGGTTCGATGATGGGATCGACGACCCCGATGGCGAGTTGCCCGACGACCTCTTTTGATCTTTCCCCTCTACATCTCATTCTCGTCCCCCTCTCCGCCGCTCGCCAACTTGTACAACTGTCATCTTTTTCTTTTTTTTTTCTTTTCTTCCCTTGTGTAATCCTTTGCTTTACTAAATATCTACCATTTTTTATACGTATATATCCTGTTTTTGGTTGTCCTTTTTCTTGTCATGCGACGTTTTGGTCGAGCTGTCTGCCTTTTGGTCTCAAGAAGATTTCCGTGAGATACATAATATAGGCCATGTTGATGGACATGCTCGCCTTTCTTGAGGTGTTTCCCGTTCTAAGCCGTTGAGTGCCGTTGAGATCTGCGGAAGATGTTCATGGATGTTGTCTTTGTTTTTGTTTTTTTGTGGTTGTCTAAGATGTGGTTGATTGTGTTTATGTAATTGGGTGAATTGGGAGTGCGAAGTGGCTGAGAGAGGGACGCGCCTGAGTACAACAACACTTCCTTCCTCCCATCACTCAACACTCAACCACCCAAAAACCAAAAAAAACAACAACAAACAACAAACAACAAACAAACCAACAATGGCACCCAGTCCGAACAAACGACACACGATCTCGACGACAGTCAACCCCTTACTATCGAACTTCTCGATGATGTCCTTAGACCACCTAGCTCCGCCGACATCCTCAACATCAACAACGAGCGGTCGGGCCAAGAAGTCATCAAACCCGAGTCCATTGAAAGGATCCAAGAGCTCGAGCTGCTTACGTCCATCATCCTATCATCATCAACAGCAGCAACAACAACAACAACAACAACAACAAAAGTCTCAATCCTCAACAAGTCTCGGCCAGCCGCTCTCATCCTCCCTCCATAAGGCCCTCTCCCGTCCGATCAATAGGGACGACCTCCTCGGCAGAGACCTCGTCCGTAAAGACTGGAGCTCCTCCTCTTCTTCCAACACTAGTCCTTCTAAAAAAACTACCGCCCGCAAGGTCTGTCCCTGCAAATCCCTCCCAAAAGCAACACCATCTGTTCATACACATACCCTTTACCAGAAATATCACACATAAAGCGCCACTGCTACCGCCCCTTAATAATTATTATTATCATGAGAAATCCTACTAACACCTTTGATCGTTCGACTCCTGAACATGATGATGATGATCATCATCATCACCATCATCAGAAGGCAACCAGTGTCGATCGGTACATCACCCGGGACGTTGATTCGTGTCAACTGGAAAGCAGTCACCCACGGGAGACGAACAGTAACGGGACGACGACTGGATCCTCGTCTGGAGGAGGCGGAGGAAGTGGCGGAGGAAGTGGAGGGGGAGGAGGAGCAGGAGCAGGATTGGAATCGAGCCATGCGTTGGAGCTCTCGACAGCCCTGGGCATCGATCTGAACCGGCGGATCCTGAGCTTCGCGGCGGACGTGCCCTCCAGCTCGCGGGTCACTCGGGACCGGGGGGACGAGGCGATTGGGAAGGAGCAGCGGGCGGCCAAGAACGGGAGCGGGAATGGCCTCTCGAGCACGGCCTCGAACCCGCGCCGACAGGTGAGCGCGATCCCCGAACGAGTTTTGGACGCGCCCGGGTTGATCGACGATTATTATCTGAACCTCACCGACTGGTCGGTCGACAACATCCTCGCCATCGCCCTGGGCGAGTCGCTCTATCTGTGGAACGCCCAAACGGGAAATGTCAACCAACTCTGTGGACTGGAAGAGGGCTCCTACTACGCCAGTGTCAAGTTCTCGGGCGATGGCCATTACCTAGCCTTAGGCACCTCCGAGGGCGCCGTGCACATCTACGACATCGACGAGGCCCGACTGTTACGGAAGATGTTAGGCCGAGAATGTCGAGTCTCGAGTCTCTCCTGGTCGGGCACGATCCTGTCGGCGGGCGGCCAGGACGGCTCGATCTGGAACCACGACGTCCAAGCGGCCCGACACAAGTCCTCGGAGATGTTGGGCCATCGCGCCGAGGTCTGTGGCCTCGCCTGGAAACCCGAGCTCGACGATCTCGTGACCCTCAATCCCTCCAACTCCGGCCTCCTCGCCTCCGGCGCTAACGATAACCTCGTCAACGTCTGGGACCCCAGGAACCCCTCCGCACCGAGGATGACCAAAAATAACCATCGCGCTGCCGTCAAGGCGATTGCTTGGTGTCCCTGGCAACCCAATATGTTGGCTACTGGCGGCGGGACTTCCGATAAGGTCAGACACAATGATCTCTTCTCCTTCCTTTAAAATAATTTTTTATTAGATCAAGTTCACTCAAAAACATAAACTGATGAATTGTGAAACGACAGATGGTCCATTTCTGGAATGTGAACACCTCCTCACGCCTCCAGAGTCTAGAAACGCGCTCGCAAGTGACCTCGATCATCTTCAACCCGTATGCGCGCGAGTTCCTGACCACCCACGGACTGCCGGACATGCACTTCTCGATCCACACCTTCCCGGGCTTCCAGCTGGTCGCCGACGTCTCCAAGGCCCACGAGACTAGGATCCTCCATTCTTCCCTTTCTCCCGATGGATGTATCGTCGTCACTGCTAGTAGCGACGAAAATCTGAAATTCGTAAGTCTTTCTTCTTCTTCTTCCTTTCCCCCCCCCCCCCCCCCCTATTTTTTGGTTTTTTGTTGCTGATCTGTTGGGGGGTTTTTTTTTTGATGCGGGGCGCTAGTGGAGAGTGTTCGAAAATAAGAGGGCCAAGGTCGGCTTGAACCCCGTGTTCGGAAAAGCTTATCCGAATCCGTTGGCTAGTAAAGACACTAATCAACAGGACCATCATCATCCCCATTCTTTTAAAGGCGGATTCGAACTCCGTTGATCTTGCCTTCTCCTTATTGTTTTGTTTTGTTTTGTTCTTGTTTAGTAGTTATCGAGAGCATTCGTTTTTTTTTGGGGGGGGGGGACTCTTTCTTTTAATCTCGGTCACCATTTTTTTTTGTTTTTGCTTTTTCTTTGCGGGCTTCGTCCCCCTCCGTGCTTTTTGTTAGACAACTCTCGTTGCACGGAAATCCATCTACAAAAAAAAAAAAAAAAAAAAAAAAAAATTGAAAAAGAAGAAGAAGAATAGGAAAGAGAAAGTAGGGTTTTATTTTTAGACTTATATAAGTACTGCATGGTCATTCCGCTCCGCCATTTCCACAATCTCGCATATAATTGGAGAGAGATTATTTTGTCGAGGAAGACGGAATGATTAAGGCGCCAATTATAAACACTGTTTTGGAAATATTTCCAAAACGTTTTACAAACATTTTGATTTTCAAGATAGTCAGGAATCTGGCAAAAAACAAAAACAAAACGGGTCCAAAGGAGCCCATGGACCTCCTTTGGACACATTTTGAGCTCGATAATGTTTTTTGTCACAACTACAGGCAAACAGGAGGTGTATTTGACACCCCCATTGAGTGGAACCTCTGTACCATACAGTGGTAGACTAGTACAGCGCACAAAATCTCGACGAGATCAATTTGGAATCAGGTCGGGTGGGTCAGCAACAGGGTCTAGCCGTCTCCCAAGCCAATATTTCTTCTCTCCCCCCCCCCCCCCCCCCCCCCCCCGCGGGCGCGCGTGGTTTTGGTCATTTGTTGTTGTCTTCATTATGGTCAACTTGGGTGAAAATACCAGTGGGGAGAGGCTTTCTGGAGGCGAGTCCAAGCACATTTGATCACCTGTGACTGGTGCGGGGTGCAAATGTTTATAACTGCAACCCCGTTTTGAAATTGTTTTGGAAATGTTTTGGTGCAAGAATCCGCGCTTTCAAAAAGCCAAAACCCTATGCAAAAACGTTTCAAAAACGTTTCAAAAAAATTGCCAAAATGTTGTTTATAATTGGCGCCTAAGGCTCACCCGGGACTACAAATGACAAAACCTTTGACACAGGTTTCAGCAGGGACACTCATGAAAGCTTTGGTTTAACCCACTCCTGAAGACATTGGGATCTCTCATCTGATGGTATTAAACATCAGCTGCCCACTCTTACACACATCTTCAGTCACTGATCTGACTTGCAAACTTCAACAACCATGTTCCTCATCTATGAGAGTTGGATCCAAGGCTTGTACAGCATCTCTCCCTTCATTCTTGTGATTCTCTTACCCTCTGTTCAGCGCTTATGATACTCCATTTTGTGATGAGGTGTGGGCCATGAACCACCACAAAATAGTGCCTCAGAATTTTTCTGCTTTTGCACCTGGTGGTCATGCAAGTAAAAGTACACCCAGTACAAGTCTGATCTCACACTATCACATGATCTTCTGATTTGTTACATAATTTTCAACTTTATCTGTTTTCCAATTATCATCTATCTTGGGGATTGCCCGGCCAGTGAGCTATCAATCCCTCTGCTTTTGCAACCATTCTCCCAATTGATCACTGTGATCTTTCTTCCTGCTTACATACACTTGTGCTGGATGTCTATCAGAGGAAAAAATCTCATTTTTGATTTGTTGGCTGCCAGCATTTCAATGCAGTTGGCCAGTTATAAAGAGAGAGAATGCCAATCTACCCATCACCAAGTGTGGTCTTATCAGTGTGTCTGGTAGTACTAGTTTTGATTATATCTTTTGAACTGGTGCTTACAGCTTCTGTTCTGTAGGGGCCCAACACTGTAGAAGTGCAGTCAGAAACGGGTGTGAATGCACTGCTAGTCTACAGTGCAAAATCCGTGAATCCCGCTTCCAATCCCGATCCCGCAATCCCACAATCCTCCCCCCACCCCTCAAACAATATCTCAAGTCACACCAATCAAAGTTCAACTCCAAAAGAAAACAAACATCCCTCCCTTCTTGATCACCTCAATAGGCCTTAGGTGTTAGGGATAGCCTGATAGGGATAGGGATTAGGGTTAGAAGTTAGGGTTTAGGGATAGGGGGTTAGCACTGGGATTGTTGACAAGTCTCCCTTGTACTGAAGAGAGAGCCTTGGGGATTGCAGGATTGAAGGATCAGGATTGGAAGCAGGATCGGATCCCAAACCACCACTTTTGCACTATAGAAGCGTGCTTAAATGCATGCCTTTCTACAATTCTAAAGTGTAAAATAGGTGGGCACAAAGGTCCCACAATCATTGGTGTATAAGCAAATGGACAAAATAAGGAATATCTTGAATGGTACCATCTGTATGGAGAATAAAAATTAAAAAATTGACAATTAATAATAAGTTTTGGCTTTAATTCAAGTTTTCAAGAGTTCATAGGGGCAAAAAAAAATTGGCAAAAAATGGGTGAGAAAAATAAAAAAAATTGAAGTTCTCTTTTGAGGATTTTTTATAGGGGGTTGGAAAAACGACTCCCAAAAATTTGACGACGACTCCCATTTTGGTCGAGGGGTCGTCGGACGGGAGTTGTCTTTCCAATTCCCCCTGGGGGATTGGGAGTCGACCTCCCAATCCAATTTTATTTTTGTTTATTTTTTTGGGTGGGAGTCGGGACCCAAGACCTCCTTGGCAAGTGGGAGGTTTGGGAGTCGCTTCCCTCCC